ACGCACTTTTTCCCTCCTAAAAAGTAAGGGGAAATGTGTGTGTGTGTTATGGAGCGAATGCAGGTGGGAGGCTCTGCTCAGCACTCCCTTTAAAGAATATTTTTTTCTTGCATTCCCCCTCTAAAAACTAGGTGCGTCTTATGGTGAGGTGCGTCTTATGGAGCGAAAAAATACAGTGCCTTTAATTCATTAAGTCACTATTCCATCACATCCACACCATATATTTAAAGCCAATGGCTTCCCCCAAAGACTCATGGGAGTTGTAGTTTTCCCACTCATAGCTACACACAGTTAAGAACTACCGTTCCCATGGTATTTGGTGAGGGTCATGTTTAAATATATGCATTAAATATATGGTGTGGATCAGCCCTTTATTCCTGCTTCAGCAAACAAGGTTGGCTGACATTTGCCCTACGCCCCCCTCAATATCTTCCTGATTGAAGCTAAAAATGTAAAATTTCTTTCCTCATCTCATCCAGGAAATAATTTCCTATTGGCCATTCAGGCTATTGGGGAGTCTCTGCTCTGCCGCGCATTGCAGGATACCTGACTAGAAGAATGACGACTCTTGGCATTTGCTTTTTACAGCCAATATATGTTTGGGCAAACCTTGGTACAGGTTCTGCATGTCTCATGTCATTGCAGGGAAATAGTTTCTAAGAATTGCAAGGCAAGGAAAGCAGACAAAGCAAGATATTAATTAGAGGCCGTAGCCCAACATGAAAAAGATGTTTGCTTCAAACGTCAGAACAAGGCACTTGCTCTCCGCCCCCTTATCAGAGCCTTGCTTCGCTTCGCCAGGAAATTGAGCTCAGCAGCACAAGAAAATTATTTTACTAAAATAGAACAGGAAGGGGCTGTGCTTTTGTACTGGGCCTTTGTCAGAAGGGACAGTGATTTATAGTTCTGTATATCATCTATGGCAGTGGTAACAAAGAAAGGGGGGAAACTTCCCCAGCCTGAGAGCCACATTATTCTCTGGATCATCTTCTGGGGGCCACATGCCACTGGCAGGCAGGGCTAGAGGCAAAAGTGGATGGAGCAATGAATGTGACTTTTACCCTTCATATGGAAGGCTACAATCCAGCCAGACAAGAAAGAGATTTCTATGGAGGAGGTTTCTATTCATCAGTGACTGCTAGCCATGATGGCCAAGCTCGGCTTCCATGGTTGGAGGAAGTAATGCTTCTGAAAACCAGTTGCTGGAAACCTCAGGAAGAACTTGAGTGCTCCTCTGCTTGGGTTTTGCTCAAGGGTTTCCCACAATGAGCACCTGGTTGGTCACTGTGAGAGTAGGATGCAGGCCTAGATAGGCCCCCTTTGGCCTGATCCAGCAGGCTCTTCTTATGCTGTCATGGAAACCACAGGAGGGGGAGAGTGCTATTGTTCTCAAATCCTGTCTGCTTGTCCCCCACAGGGAACTGGAGGGCCACTGTGAGAAGAGAATGATGGACTAGATGGACCATTGGCCTAATCTAGCAGACTTTTCTCATGTTCTTAGGCACACACATCTCAGCCTCTGAGACATTATCACAGTTCACCCACGCAAAAGCACTTGAGGAGCAGGGCCTGGCAAGGGGTGGGGCCTCTGGAGGGTGAATAGCATAGAGAGAGTCCCAAGGGCCACAGTTGGCCCCCGAGGCCACAGTTGTTCCCCACCCCTGTTGCAGCCAGAGGACTTTTGATGCTTTCTTACCATTGTGTTTACTACTCATTTTCAGATCGCCTGAAGTGAAGGACAGGTGGATGTCAACACTGCTGTGGTAAGAGTTGCATTCTTTTTGTCTGCAGCAAGGATGCCACGTGGCGTAAAGGTAGGAGTGGCATTGTGCCATGGTGGCCTGCCTGTGGCATCTAGTGGCCCTTGCCATGGTTGCTGCCTGCTCCCCACAAAAGCAGGCTAGAAGCAGGGCTACCTCCATCAGTTCCATTGTGGCAGGCCAGCCTCATCAGGCCTCATCTCCCCTCAGCTTGGCACCTGAGGGCAACTGCCATTCCCTCAGGCTGACTCAGTGGGAGAAATGGGAAGCAGAAGGCTCATTCCATCAGCTTTGCCAAAAGCCCAGATCCATCAGGCACCTCCTCCCCCTGAACTGTTTCAACTGTTTAGAAATCAATACTGAGTTTGAAATTTAATTTTCTTCTTCCCTCCCCATCCCTTTTTCCTTGTATGTCATGCTTTTAGGTCTTTAGGTTGTAAGCCTGCAGGCTGTTTTGAATGTAAGCTGCTGTGGGAACCTTTTTGACTGAAGAATTGGGTACACAAGTTATAGATAGATAGATAGATAGATAGATAGATAGATAGATAGATAGATAGACAGACAGACAGACAGACCAACTGGAAGAGGGAGGAGGGAATGTGTTGGGTCTATAATGTGCCTCAGAGAGTACTGTCTTATACTTTATCAGTGTTCTACTTTGATCCCATTTAGCCACTATTCAGGTGTTCATTCACAAGGATAGCCAACGTCCTGCAGCCTGCAAAGCAGGCTCATCGGCCCCCGGGGAAGATGGGAGTTGTAGTTCCACAATATTAGGAGGACATCTTTTTAGCTACTGCCACATAGGAAACACATGGGAAGGGTGGCATTGCAGTGACAGGCAGCACCCTAGACTAACATGCATCCATTAAAACAGGAATCAGGAACCATTTTCAGCCTGAAAGCTACACTCCTGCTGTGTGGGTAGCTGCATGCCAGGGCTGGGCGTGGCCAGAGATGAAAGTGGGTGGGGCTTTACCTTTGTGCAGTAGGTTACATTCCTGGCAAACAGAAATCAGAGGTCTTGAACATAGCCACATACCCACACATGTGTAAAGCATTATCACGGCCCCAGGACCACATTCCAGCCAGGTAAATGTTCTTGATGCAGGACTGCTCTGAGGGGTACAACCTGAGGAGAGGTGTCGTGGGCTGAGCGGGGTCCTCGGGGCTTGAGGTTCTCCACCCCTGTGTTAGAACCTCTGAAGGGAGCTACTGAGTGTGCACAGGACTTAAATGGCATGGAGATCCTTGAGTGAAATCAACCCCACCCCAAAAAGTAGTCTCCCCAAAATGGTCTGTAGCAGTGTTTTTAGTGCCTTTCTCTGCATGCCCCAGTAACTATACACCTTGTGGTTTGTTTTCTTAATGGTAAATTTATGAATTGCAGGCACATCAATGAAGTGAAGCAGGCTGAGTATCCCAAAAGCATACCCATGCAGATTTTGTTGATGGACGGTGACCACAGCTCCTCTGTGAGTAACAGTGGGAAAAATAGCCTGGCCTATTAGGTTGGTCCTGTTCTTCAGTACCGCCGTATGTGGCAGTGCTTAGTCTTGATTTTCAATCTACAGTGGTTTTAAGGCTCTATGTTACCTGAGCAGAACCTAAATGTGTTTTTTATTCTTTGTGTCAAGAGCACTGCAATAATCGTCTCCAATGTAGAAACAGCAGAGCATGTCATCAAGAGGACCACTGAGAAGCTGGGACTTCCTGTAAGTGCAAAATTTATTTCCTTTTAGAAATGGCTCAGCAGTACTGCATTATTATTTTTACTAGGTGTGAGGCGGAGGGTGGGAAGATGAAGTCACTTGAGCTTTCCTAAGTGTAACTGAGGCAAGGGATCCACTCATGCCCAAGAAGCAAATAGACTGGAGAAGGGATCTGGGCCACATGCTTTTGCATTCTACATTTAAAAAAAATTAAGGAGGTATTAATGAACAGGATATTATTTATCTAGACTTACTGTGTATGCATTTTATTTGGGGGGGGTATACTGGGTTCTGAGAAGGAGTGGAAAATAAGCACTAAAAGTGAATATGCATGATTTTAATAAATACATAATTATGTCAACTGTAGGGTTGTAAAATACAGATTGGTTCTTTTATGACCAACATATTCACATGAATGCTTGGGTTTCACCCCTTAGTATAAGACATGAGTGTTGCAAGTTGTAGACAAAGCCATTGATTTCTGTGGCTTTGCAAGCATTCCTCCATGAGAAAATTGGTAATGTCAGTTAATATTCCCTAAAACTCTCTCCCCCTGCTTTCCAAATCACACCTAAACTTTGCCACTGCTAAGGAAGGCAGTCTGGGAGGCACAAGGGTGAATTCTCAGTTCATACAGAGCAAGTGGCTGTAACTCGTGGTCAAACCTTTTGCTCTGGAGCATGTCCCAGAATCCCTCTATAATGTACAGGGGTTCCTTGAGAAAAGAAGAGTTTGAAAGCCACTGGCCTCATCCCTTGCCACCTAGGCAAAATATACTAGTTTATAATTAGACTGTGGTGTGCTAAAATGTGCCATGTATATAATGACTCAAGACATGTTCATTGGCCTGACTCGCATGCTTTTCAAGTCTTTTGTGTGGATATTGCATCCATTTCCAACCTAGAGCATTAGACAAATTTGTGGAGAAGGAGGAGGAGGCTACCGCTGCCTGCTAGCCATGATGGCTGTGCTCTGCCTCCACTGTCAGAGGCCGTAACGCTTCTGAGTACCAGTTGCTTGAAACTACAGGAGGGGAGAGTCCTCTTGCTCTTGGGTTCCTCTTGCAGGCCTCCCCACTGATGCATCTGGTTGGCCACTGTGAGAAGAAGATGGTACTAGATGGGCCATTTGCCTGCTCCAGCAGGCTCTTCTTATGTTCTTATGTAAGCCGCTGCTGTCCAGATGCATGGCTGTGCTGGTTGGGGCTGATGGGAGTTGTAGTCCAAAACATCTGGAGGGCACCAGATTGGGGGAGGCTCCTGTAAAGTTTCAGCTTTGACTTCTTTCTGTCTGACTGCCTTCCCCTTTCCTCAGCTGTACTGTTCCGCTTCCTCTGAATGTCAGACATGCTGGTCACTCTGTTGTATTCCATCAGGTTTGCAGCCCTGCATTTCCTGATCCTCCCTTCACCACCTGCTGCCTGGGCTTCATTGCCTGGTATCCCCTTCTGTTGTTTTGCACCCCCTTTTCCCAGCTTCTCCAGTCCTTCATTCTGCCACCTCATTTCTTTCTGTTTTTCAATCCACAGGGCCGGCCAAGAGACTATCTCCTTTGGGTAATACCAGGAAGGGACAATAATGCTTACCCACTTATCGGTAAGAGCTCTTGCTTTCTTGAGTGAACATAGATAATTCAGTATTAATTAATGTCAAAATGAATATTTGTAAGTCCTTCTGATGTGAGTGGCATCTTACCCTTTCATTTCTGTGGAGTGAAATTGTTGTTCCTTTTATCATCCAGGACATTGCACTCTGTGAGGCAGTGTAATGCAGCAGCAAAAAAACAAAACACAACAACCCTAATTCAATTCTAGGTTACATCAGCAGAAGTTGAGTGTCCAGATCAAGGGAAGTAATAGTCCCGCTCTGTTTTGCCTTGGTCAGACCACACTTGGAATACCGTGTCTAATTATGGGCACCACAATTTAAGAAGGATGTTTATAAGCTGGAACATGTGCAGAGAAGGGCAACCAAGATGATCGAGGTTCTGGAATCTAAGCCTTATGAGGAACAGTTGAGGGAGCTGGGTATGTTCAGCCTAGAGAAGAGAAGATGGAGAGGTGATATGATACCCCTTTTCAAATATCTGAAGAGCTGTCACATGGAAGATGGAGCAAGCTTGTTTTCTGCAGCTCCAGAGGGTTGGACCCAAACCAAAATACAGCAGGTTAAGCTCTTATGGCCAGGACTTGTATAAACAGGGGTGTTTGTGAGGGCATTTAGTGGAGGAGTTTGAGGGGGAAGCCTGAATTCCATCTCACAGCATATGTATGACTAAGAGACACAAACAGTGAACTGCAACACCTGTGCCATGTTTGCCTTCCTGTCTATGAACGTGCAAAATCATACATGACAGATGGCCATCCAACCTCTGCTTCGAAACGGTCAGGGAAGGAGAGCCCACCACTTTCAAAGGAGAGTCTGTTCCACTTCCAAACAGCTCTTACTGGCAGAAAAGTCAGAATGTCCTGTAGTGTAACTGTTTGGAATGTCCTTTATTGTAACTTGAACCACTGGTTCAGGACCTACCCTCCTGTTACCTCCATACACTACTGCCTCTGTCCTGCCCCCAGTAAGGAATCACCACCACCACCAACTCTTCCTCTGGGAAGTGGCAGGAATTGTTCTGTATCATCATTACACCATGTGATCTCCCACTTGCAGTCTAAAGGACTACAGCCAAATACAGGTTTGCCACATCAGGGAGAACCAGACCCTTTCTGAATGAAGGCTCTCCCACACTTCCATTTGTCCCAGGCTTTCTGTGCGTTTGCCCTGCTGCTTTCCCTGGGAAAACCTGCTGTTTACCACTGAGTCGGAGTAAAAGTCCATCAGGGTTTTCTGCAGATTGACATGAGTTCGGATTCAGTGGTAAACATCAGGTTTTCCAGGGAAATGGCAGGGTGAATGAAGAACCTCTTGGACCCATGCCCAGAAACCATGGGACAAGTAGAAGGGAATCCAGGACAAGTATGGACAAGCCCTGAGTGAAAGAAGAATCAGATTTAAGCCTTCTGCCTAAAGCAACCCAAACATCATATGGTTATAAAGGTTAGGTGCCACCCCCCACTTTCTACAAGACTCCAGGGGGTTCCAGGCTCTCACCCAGGGTCTGTGGTCCTTTGGAAAATTGAGACATGGCAGAGACTGTAATAGCTTTGAGAAAAATGGTTTATTCACCTATTTACACCTTCAGTCTGTATGGAGGGAGTCCAGAACTTATGGCATGGTCATCTGAAGCAGAACTTGTCTCCCACAGCAGTGCAGCCCTGAAGTGCAAGGCATCTCTCCCAGCCAGCCTTCAGCCAACCTGCCCAAGATGGATCCCAGTCTTTCTTCTCTCCCCTTCTACTTCCCAGCAAACCTTGCTAAACAACCCTCTTTTCCTGTCACCTCACACCCAGTTACGCTGACAACCTTCCAAATCCCAGACTCTGTTCACACGTCAGAGCAAGGGGAAGGTCAGTTTTCTTGTACTGCCAATGGCCCTCAACAGTGTTGTATTGTTTTTAATAGCCCTAGCTTGGCCAGGTTGTTTTGCATTGGCTAGCTCAGAAATTCCTTTGCAGCTTGTATTTCTCCCTTCACATCCCAAATAATCAAAATCCTACCATTTATTAATTTCTAGGGTTTAGCCCACCCAACCCAAATCTTTAACACCATGCTTCCCACACCAACTTAGACAAGAGCTATGAAATTCAAACTTGCAAGGAAAACAATGCCTTCAGAGATGCTGTGGGAGGAAAAATGTTGTTTCCCTTAATCAACTACTCCTGTTTAAATAAGCAAACATCCATCTTCCCATTATGAGCGTGGAATCTTCAGCTTGTTTATTTCTCCTGTTAAAGAATTCCAGCTGATATTTCAGGATATTATTTCAAGTACGATAGGCTGGTAGTTAATTCAGATGGAGTTTGTAAGGACATAAGAGCCTGCTGGATCAGACCAATGGCCCATCTTGTCCAGCATCCTAATCTCACATTGGCAGGACCCAAGCACAACAGCTCCCTCCCCTCTTTCGGTTTCCAGTATGTGGTACTCAAAAGCATTTGCTGCTTCCAACCACACAGAGAGAGCATAGCCATGATGACCGGTAGTCATTGATAGCCATCTCCTCCTATGAATTTGGCTGATCTTCTTTTAAAACCATCTAAGTTGTTGGCCATCACTGCCTCCAGTGGGAGTGAGTTCCATAGTTTAACTCTGCGCTGCGTGAAAATGTCCTCTTTATCCGTCAACTTTATCTTCCAACTTTCTGCTTCAATGGACATCCACAAGTTCTAATGTTATGAGAGAAGGAGGGCTTTTCTCTATCCATTTTCTCCATTCCATGCCTCATTTTATAAACTTCTATCATGTCGCTTCTTATTTGCCTTTTCTTGACTTTTTAATTTAAAGTCCCGAATGCTGCAACCTTTTTCATAGGATAGTTGCTACATCCCTTCAATCATTTTGGTTGCCCTATTCTGAACCTTTTCCAACTCTGTGATACCCTTTTGAGGGGAGGCAACCAGAACTAAAGACACTGTAATCCAAATGTGCTCACGCTATCAGTTTGTATAACGGTGTTGTGATGCAGGCAGTTTTATTTTCAATTTGTTTCCTAATGATCCCTAGCATAGAATTTGTCACGGCTACTTCACACATGGCTGGCAGCTTCTGCTTCATTGTGTTAAACATTGTATCCTCGTTCAATGGATTTCTGAAATAGATACAATGGAACATTCTATACATAGTGCACTGTCTATTCAGATGTTGCTGTTTTTCTTGGTAAAAGAATAAATGAATCCATTTAGCTCCTAAACAGCTTTGTGCTGCCTTTAAGGAGCTAAATAAATGCTTGGGTTTGAACTGAGGCTAAATGACTGGTAACAGGGAGGGATTTCAGAAATAGGCAGCAGGAAATTAAGATCAACACAATATTTTCCTTTAAATTATTCAATAATAATAATAATAATAATAATAATAATAATAATAAAATGCCCTATGAAGGCAAAAAGTGTTTTGGATTTTTTTGCCATTGGCACATATCAGAAAATGATGCAAGTTTAGATGTACAAATAACATTACACAGAGTATTTACTTTGGCTGAGAGTGTAGGGCATGTCTTTTCAACTTTTTCCCATAGTGTTTCATAACAATTTCTATTATTACATGTGACATAATGACAGTATCGTATTTAGGGTTGGGCTTTCTGGTCAAAATGGGACTAAAATGAGAGCAGAACTTTTGATGAAGGCTGTTTGGGAATGTTGACAAGAGCAGCCTTTTCCTTGAGACTTTTCAGTTAACTTCTTTCAGAGGAGCCAAAACCCTTTCACTGTTGCTTCTCTTGGGCTGTGGGAGATGTCAAAGCCTTTTAAAGCAGGCTCAGCAGATTTGGGGTCAGAGCCCCCTTCCACCCTCCTCCTCCTTCAGATTCCCTTTCCTTTGGATGGCTAACCATGTCACATCTGTGACGGGCTTAAGGTTTGTTTGTTTATATCCTACTCTGTAGCCCACAGGGGATCCCCCCACCCCACAAAATTTCACCAATGAAAATTAGATCAAAGTCTAGTGTGAGGAATAGACCTGCCATGCTGTATTACTTCCTTTACAGGTAAGGGATGATCCCATGTCTGGTGTGAAGGATATTTCCACAGTTTCTTCCTTTGGCTAGATGTGGTTGGTGGGCACAGGATTCTTCTCCAACTGACACCCCCAGGCCAGTCAGTGACCCACTGTGGATCTGAGTCTTGACTACGGACTGGAGGATAAATTAGATTCAGGGCTTATCCACACTTATCTTTCATCTACTCTTTCTAGGCTCTGTGTCTGAGTGCCCTTCTTTTTGCCCTGGAGTGTTCCCAGTGAAAATCTGCTCTTTAAATATGAATTGGAGCAAATGGCAATCTGCAGAAAACCTGATTCCTCTGAATGAGCACTAAAGAGTGAGGGATGGGGGGAAACTCCAGGGCAAAAAGCCCCCAATGTTTGGACATGGAGCTTTTAAGCACAGACCTGTACCTGGAAAGAGGGGGATAAAAGAAAAGTGTGCATATGTTGTAAACAAAATCTGGTCTTGTTCCCTTATGGGGTACACAAGACCCCTTATAGAGTCCTTTGTAGGTTCTCCATTGGTAGGAGAAAATAACAGAGGCCGACCAGAGAATATTGAGAAGCAAAGCAGCTAGTAAGCCTGATCTTTATTAATGCTGTTGCAACAGGGTGCTCCCTTCACACACAGGAGAGTGGAGGAGGACCAAGAACAAAGGTGTGCCTCCGCTTATATAGACATTATGAAATTCCCTGCCCTGGAGCTCAAGACCACAACCAGAAACATCATGTATACATCACAGAAGGGGTGTAGACCAAGACCACCCCCCAGATACATCATACCTACTTCATAGAAAAGGCGGTCTACAACAGAATTCTGAGTGCTTTGTTTATCTCCTGTCTGCCAGGTTATCTGATAACGCCTTATCTGTGGCAGTCTGGCCATTTTTTTGAGATGGTAATCACTTAATTCCCAAGACTATGGGAAGGTTCCTTCACCCTCACCCTCCTTGCAGAGAAACATTTGGTCAGTTTGGGAGTCAAAATGATTTCAGGGCTGTATTTCTGTGCTGCTGCAGACATGAGGTTTATATATTTATGTATGTCTTTGCTTGGTACATTTATGAACATTTATTATATATCTAAGACCTTAAAATTCTTATAACACATAATAAGCCCTTTGTTCTCATTTGAAGGGAAATTGTCAAATTCTCACTTTCCTAAACAATATGGGAACGAAAGCATGGGACCTTCCTTAGAAATCTGTACATGTCCAAATTTTGAGGTGCGGTTTTCCAACCAAACTGTGTTTACAAAAATGCATATACATTGGTCCCTTGGTTGTTGAACTTAATCCATTCTGGGAGTCCGTTTGGCTCCCGGAACTGTTTGAAAACCAAGGCGCGGCTTCCAATTGGCTGCAGGAGCTTCCTGCACTCAGTCAGAAGCCACGTAAGCTGCGTCAGACGTTCAGCTTCTGAAAAATGTTCACAAAACCGGAACCACTGTATTAGGAGAGAGCATGCATAGAAATGGAATATATGGTGAAAATATCATACAACATGCTAGAAGTTGCTCACAAGAAATGTGTACCTAAAACTGCATACAAAAATGCATGTATTAGGGGAAATCTGCATTAAAATGCTAAATAATTTTTGTAAGGACTTTTTTTTAATTGCAAATTGCTGCAGATATTCAGAGAATTAAGTTTAAGATTATAAAAATGAGAAACTGAGAGTTCTGAAATACAGTGGTACCTCGGGTTAAGGACTTAATTCGTTCCGGAGGTCCGTTCTTAACCTGAAACTGTTCTTAACCTGAAGCACCACTTTAGCTAATGGGGCTTCCTGCTGCCGCCGCACCGCTAGAGCACGATTTCTATTCTCATCCTGAAGCAAAGTTCTTAACCCAAGGTACTATTTCTGGGTTAGCAGAGTCTGTAACCTGAAGCGTATGTAACCCGAGGTACCACTATAGAAAGGTCTTTCCATCCCTTGTTGTGACAGGCAAGTTCTTTCAATGCATTTAATTTCGTAAGTCCAGCTGGTTTAAGCATGGTCAGGGCTAGCGCCTTGACTGTTTTCAGAAGCTAACACCTCTTGTCGTTGCAACAGGCCATGAGCAACCCTTCAGCATTATTCTCAGCTGCCTTGAAGACTCCATGCACCAGCCACAAGATACGGACAACAGAATGCCGTTCACTGATTATTATGGAAATTCCATCCTGGACCAGCTCCCCAGGGATAGGCAATGCCAGTTCATCCTGAAACTCAGACACCAGGCTCCAGAGCAGCTGCAGAGAGGTAAGAAAATAGTCCCAAATTACTGGCAAGACCTTCAGGGATCTCAGCTTGTGACCTACTGTTTTAATTGTGGGTACAAATTTAGTACCAACATGAATTTTCTCACTAATTAGGAATCCAGTAAATTCAGATGCAACTGTTTGAACTCTGGGCAAATGTTTGTTTATCTCCTGGTATGCCCCACAGAGAAACTTACGGTCTTCAAATAAAAACATCTTGAAGGTCCCAGGCCACAGAGAAGTTAGGCTGGCCTCAACTAGAGCCAGGGCTTTTTCGGCTGTGGCTCCAATCTGGTGGAACGCTCTGTCACAAGAGACTAGGGCCCTGCGGGACTTGACATCTTTCCGCAGGGCCTGCAAGACAGAGCTGTTCCACCAGGCCTTTGGCCAGGGCACAGCCTGACTCCCTCCCTCAGCAATCTTCGCAGAGCTCTGGCCCAATGGTTGCCAGTGACTTGAATTAATTAATTTTATAATGAATGATTTTAGAGTGTTGTTTATGCTGTACTTTTGTACTGTTTTATTGTTATTAGCCGCCCAGAGCCCGGCTTCGGCTGGGGAGGGCGGGATATGAATAAACTTTATTATTATTATTATTATATTTTATTAAGGCAATAAAATTGTCAAATGTTATTAAACACCATATTGGTTTATCAAATCACCAAATATTGTTAATGGAGACAGTTGAGGAGCAGGAAAAGGATAAAGGGGGAAGGCAGAGGTTGGCAGTTTGTCCTCCTTCCCTAGTGGAGGCTAATAACTGCTTCAGGAACTAGAAGATTCAATCAGCGAAATGTGTTGCTGCTGTTTTGGGGGTGGGAGGACTGAACACCCCTCCCGCAAGCGAATATCTTTCTAGTCCCTCATTTCTATATAATGCATTCCAGTAGTTCACAAAACAGTTCCATCTCTCTGCATAAGGATCTTAGAGACCTCCCTGCCTCGTTTCTAATAGCTGCCCATCATTCTGCTTTATTAGAAAGCAATACCTCTCAGATATTATGGGCAAGGAGAAAAGGCTTTCTCAGCCAGGATGGACAGCAGGGGAAGGAGAGGACATTTGGAAGTTCATGGAAGATCAGCAGTCTCACTTCTTAATTGCTCCGAATTGCCTGCCTGGTACCCAGTTTGTACCTCATCAACCTTGCCTTAGAAAGGGAACACCCTGAAACCTGAGGTGCATTTGTGCTTTCAGAAAAGGTACAGAAGCACACCAAGAGGAAGAAATCTTTGATCGATTGGGCACTCCGCCGAAGCACCAGCACCCCAACTGGCAGCCCAGTATCACAGTCTCCAACCACCTCGAGGAAGCTTTTTGGCCTGTCCCTGGAATCATTGTGTCCTGATGGAAACCTCCCCAAGCCAATTATGGTAAGATGGGGACCCAGGGATGTTGTTTGGGTGCCTCTGCAGAATAGCTTCTTTACTCTTTTGTTCACTGTGTCAGTGCATATTTAGATGCATGGGAAGAAGGCAGTGAAGGTGGCTTGGGCCCTGTCTGCACTATACATTTAAAGCAGTATCATACCATTTCAAACAGTCATGGCTTTCCCCCAAAGCATCCTCGTACCTGTAGTTTGTTAAGGGCGCTTAGAGGTGGTGGTGGTTGGCGCTTAGAGTTTGTTGTTGTTGTTTGCATTTATGCCCCACCTTTTTCTGCAAAGAGCTCAAGGTGGCATACATGGCTCTCCCCTTCCTCATTTAATCCCCACATCAACTGTGAGGATGGTTAGGCTGACAGAGGCAGCAACTAGCTCAAGGTCACACTGTGAGTGGGTTTCATAGCCATGTGGGGATTTGAACCAGATCCTGGTCTAATACTACAGAACAGTGGTTATTAAGAGACCTATGTTCCCCTCACATAGTGACAATTCCCAGAGTGGTTTATTATGGTTGTTAGTAACAACAACAACAACAATTTCATTTCTATACTGCTTTATATTTCTAAGAAAAAAATCTCAAAGCAGTTTACAACACATTAAAACATCAAATAAAATAACCCAGGATAAACATTACTGAAGAAAATCAAATACAAAGGGAGTTGGACTAGAGGACCCTTAGGACCCCTTTCATATCTGTGACTCTATAACTGTTTATAATACAGTGGTACCTCAGTTTTCGAACATCTCTGTTGACAAACAGTTCGGTTTTCAAATACTGTAAACCGGAAGTAAATGCTTCGGTTTCCAAACACGCCTCGGAAGTCGAACATGCCATGCAGCTTCCGCTGAGTGCAAGATCCTGAGGCCTAGTTGATGGCTACTGAGTTTTCAGTTTTTGAACATTTCAGAATTCGAACGGTCTTCCGCAACTGATTACGTTCAAAAATCGAGGTACCACTGTACAGTGGAACGTCGGTTTTTTGAGCATCTCGGAAGCCGAACGTTTTGGTTTTTGAACACCGAAAACCAGGAAGTACCGGTAATTGCTTCTGTTTTCAAACACACCTTGGAAGTCGAACAGCTTCTGCTGAAGTTTTTTCAGTTTTCTCCGCTGAAATTGCAGACTGCCTTTTGCACCTCGGTTTTCAAACGTTTCAGAGGCTGAACAGTCTTCCGGAACGGATTACATTCGAAAACCGAGGTTCCACTGTACTGAATTTTAAATTGCAACCTGCCCTGGGACCTGCTGGTGAAGGATGGGTAATTAACAGCAACAACACGAATATTCCCTCTGTCATGAATGAGAGCTTAACCTGATTGTCTAAAATGCAAATTATAATAATCGCCCTTAGTGATCATATAACTGACATTGTTCACTTCCACACAACCCCAGGATATCCTGCAACTCCTGTACCATGAGGGCCCCACCACAAGGGGCATCTTCAGGCGCTCGGCTAATGCCAAGACTTGCAAGGAACTGAAAGAAAAACTCAACTCTGGAGATGATGTCCAAGTGGATGGTGAATCTGTCTTTGTGGCAGCTGGAGTTATTACAGTAAGTTGGACCATATTGGTAGTACTTTAAAGACCTTAAGTTTTGCTGTGCTGACTAACAAGGATCTGCTGCAGTGGCTTAAGGTGTATTGTGGGGGAATCATAGAATCAAGAGTTGTAAAGGACCCCAATGGCCATCAAGTCCAACCCCCTGCAATTCAGGAATTTCAACTAAAGGGAGGGCCTTTAATTCAGAATTGATGGCAAGTGGTGTCATATAACCCTCTCAGCCTATGGGCAACAGCAGTTTTGAGTCATCCCATACTAACATCCAGGCATGTCAACTAATTTAGATAACAGTAGAGAAGTGTGAAGGGTTAAGGACTGGCAATCTGTGCAGAAAGATTAGAGGCATTCAACATGTCATTCTTCATGGTGATTAGTAAAAAAATTGACCCTCCTTGCTCCCATGATAGTGCAAACTGTGCTTCATGGAGATACTGATGATGTTAATTTTGCCCAATAGGTTTTCTTGCAAACAGTGAGGTTTCTAGTACTGTGGTGTTCTGGGCTTCTTACAGGTGGATTCTGAGAAGCCCTGGAAAATGAAACCAAGTGTGGTAGAGCAGCATTGAGCAATATGCACAGCACTGTGCACAGCACTGTGCACAATGCCATCAGACTGAAGTGCACAGGGTCCATTTTGTGCTCATGCCGAAAGGGGATTCCAGACACTGCCGGTCAGCTGGTTGGCAGCACCTGCGGGGATTGAATGAGCAAATACTTGTCAGGGCTTTGAAGCCCATTGCAAAACATTCCAGCGGTCACCTGGTGTCATTGTGGTGCTAGGTGGTTGACTGGTGGGTGTCCACATCTGCCTATCACAGGGTTTCCCAAACTTGAGTCTCCAGCTGTTTTGGACTACAATTCCCACCATCCCAGACCACTGGTCCTCCTAGCTCTGGCATGGCCAGACTTGGCCCTCCAGCTGTTTTGGGACTACAACTCCCGTCATCCCTAGCTAACAGGACCAGTGGTCAGGGATGATGGGAATTGTAGTCTCAAAACATCTGGAGGACCAAGTTTGGCCATGCCTGTCCTAGCTAATAATGATGGGAGTTATGGTTAACATCTGGAGACCCAACTTTGGGAAGCCCTAGCCTATCAGATTTGGGCCATATGGTGAGGGATAAATAGACTTTTCCCACCCCTACCTTAAACTGTGTGGTTTTTGACACACACTCACAAAATCAGGGCTTTTGTGCTTCATTGTAGAATAAATCTCAAAATCGACTCAATTGCTCTCTGCATGACTAACCAAATCACTCTGCATGTCTGTATTTAATATAGGATTTCCTACGCAATATACCTGACAGTGTTCTATCCTCAGACATGCACGGGCTGTGGATGGAAGCCATGGATAAGGAAAGCCGAGCACATAAGATTGAAGCACTCAAAAGGTTTGCTACTGGGGCAGTCTGTTTGCTTTGATAACCCTGGGTAATGAATATCTACTACTACTCAGTTTCCCATTCCAACTGCCATGTGGGATCCTTTAGAAAAAATAGTGCCATTCTAGTAAGATGCTCTTATTTTAAGGAGAATTTCAAGCATGCCCCCTCCTCAAAATGGCAAGGGGATGGAAAATTACTTGATCCATGTAGTGGGGGGGACGGGACATATGTGGACCCTGGCTAATTTCTCTTAGCCTGACTTTAAGGGAAGGGCTCAGCAAGAGACCACAAGGTTTGCCAGCAGAAGATCCAAGATTCAATCCATGGTTTCTCCACTTAAGAGGATCGGGGAGGGAGAGAAGGAAACGATGGGAAAAACCTCTGCCTGAATCCCTGGAGGGCCACTGCCAGCCACTGTAGGCAATACTGAGCCACATGGCGCCTTCCTGTTCCTAAACTCACAGAGTGGTTGTGAGGATAGAATTGCAAGGGAAGAGCCTTGCCTACCACTCTTGAGTGCAGTCGAGGAAAGGCAGATTTGGAAATGTGATCTATCAACAAGCAAGCTTCCAATATTTCCTGGAACACAGGTTGGAAGCCACTCTTCCGATTTATGCCAGCTGCTCTTCATTCAGCAGTTGATGGCTTTCCATGGGCTTTATACATGAGCATAATAACAGGCTCATAATTTGGGGTAGAATTAGAAATGCAGAAGCATTCAAGGCTCAAGTCCTGCTATGGATTCAGCTGAGATAAGGTATCATTTGCAGGAACCCTGCTTCTCAGTTGTGCTGCCAGCTGCCCTGGACTGGATACTTACACTTTCTCGGGGGAAATGATAAAACTTTAGTCCGACATGCAGTTGCCAAAATCAAACCCAAGCAGCATGTCCAAAGGATTAAAAAATAATAATCCTTGTTAAGAATTCTAATGTTGCATTCAAAATTAAAGTAGCAAAATTTCCTGCAAATGTTGAATGCTTGCTTTTCCTTTCTCAGTTGATGTGCAAATTTGAGGCACAAGTACATTTAGGGTATGTTTTGGCTGTGCAGAGTAGTAGTTATTATGCCACGAAAATCCCATCAGATGTGGACCCTCCTCCAGGGAGCCTATTCACCCTTTTTGCTTGTGGTCTGAGCTGATGTTCTTCATTCTCGTTTCTCTTCCTTTTTTTGCAGCTTAGTGAATCAGCTCCCAGAAGCAAACCTCATTTTGCTCAGACACCTATTTGGAGTTTTACATCACATTGCGCAAAATTCGACAGAGAATCAAATGAACGCCTACAACTTGGCCCTCTGCATCGCCCCCAACATGCTGTGGCTTCCCAGCCCAACAGGTCCTGAGGAGGAAAGCAAATCCACAAAGAAGGTAACAGCCTTCTCTGCTTATGGGTTTTTATCCACATCCCTTTTGTTGGCTTTTCCCTTTGGCTCAGACACTCTGAACTCTGATTAGACTTCCCAAATCCTTGTTAAGTTTGTAGTCCCTCTTCTCAGAGCTGGAACACAGAGCTAGCAGTTGCATGATGCTAACCCTGGCCCAAATTGCTTTGGTCATCATGTCCAGAGGATATTTGTGATATGGTATGACAGTACTGACCACAGTAGCTCATGCACTGGTTACTTCAAAACTGGATTACTGCAATGCACTCTATGTGGGACTTCCCTTTGCAGAATGCTGTAGCACAATTGCTGACAGGAGTGATATCTTGTCAGCATATAACATCTCTGCTCAGAGATGCACACTGATTGTTGATTTGCTGCAGGGCCAGGTTCAAGGTGTTACTGTATATAAAGGTGCTTAGGATCAGTTTACCTGTGAGACCACCCCATACATGCCCACTTTGACCACTTCAATCTGCGGAACCGGCTCTGTTACAGGTGCTACATAATACTTGTTCCACATTTGTAAGAACTCAATCTTTTAATGTGGTAGCACCTGCACTTCAGAACTCCCTGCCTATTGACATCAGTCAGGCGCCTTCACTGCACTCTTTTTGGTGCCTGCTAAAAACATTTTCATTTAGGCAAGCCTACCCAGATATTTGGGATGCGGGTGGCTCTGTGGTCTAAACCACAGAGCCTAGGGCTTGCCAATCGGAAGGTAAGGTTCCAGCAGGAAGGTAAACAGCGTTTCTGTGTGCTGTTCTGGTTCACCAGAAGCGGCTTAGTCATGCTGGCCCCATGACCCGGAAGCTGTCTGCGGACAGACGCTGGCTCCCTTGGCCTATAGAGCAAGATGAGCACACAACCCCAGAGTCACCTGTGACTGGACCTAACGGTCAGGGGTACCTTTACCTTTACCCAAATATTTAGAATGCTGATGTGTTTTTAGTTGATTGTTTTACTAATAATCTTACTGTTTATTCTTTCAGTAAACCGCTTTGAGGTTTTTGACGATCAAGCAGTATATAAATTTTATGAAATAAATAAAACTAAGTGGGTTTGGGTGAGTGTAAAAGGGCAGAGCTGGATATAGAACAGATCTTGTCCTGCTGCATGCCCTAAGCAAGCCTCATGCCCTCGGGCACAATGTCACGGTCCCAGTGTTAATGTATAAGATTCACTGCTGGTCTCATTCGTATATCTTATTCATATAATTTATACAGCACTTGATTATTTAAAAAAATGAAAACCTCAGAACAGGTTACAAAGAAAAGATAAATCAATAAAATTATCAATAAGAAAAGTGGCATCAACAATTTAAAACTTTCAGGAAGTTAAAATTACAATAGACCAAAAGCAGATTAAAACTCACATCCGCTTTCTAAATGTCTAAGCTTGTCTAAACAAGAAAGATTTTAGCAGGTGCTGAAAACAGAACAGTGAAGGCACCTGCCTGATGCCAATAGTGTGGGTGCTGCCACACTAAAAGATTTGAGTTCTTACCAATGCAGAGTGGGTATTACGTGGCACCTGTAACAGTGCCAGTTCCACCAAGCAAAGCAGTCTTGTCCTTTGTCTCCTGGCTCATCCACACTTCCACTTGTCCTGCCACTTTCCCCCAGGAAAACCTGCTCCTTACCGCTGAATCAGAACAAACGTCAAAAAGCATTTCTGCAGATTGATGATTGTTCTGATTTGGCAGTAAGCAGTGGGTTTTCCAAGGGGAAGTGGCAGGACAAACGAAAAACCACTTGGGGCTGTGTTTTCCAGGCACAGGACAAGCGAAAATGTGGACAAGCCCTTAGACACCAAAATGTCTCGGGCCAGCCCTGCTGCTCCTCTGTTCACGTCTAATGCAAATTTCCCCTGCACAGAGACAAAATGGGTTTGTTTGCTGATTGTGTGCTTCAGCTCTTAATCGCACAGTGGAATAGAGACTGGAATAATTATACATAATAACTAACAGACAAGTACCATGTTGTTGGAATTAGCCACATGAACAGCATCCAGAGCTGGTGTCCTCCACTTAATAGAATCATAGAGTAATAGATATTACCTTGGCAACTGCTCCCTTTCATACAGGTGGCCAGGCTGGTACAGTTCCTGATTGAAAATTCAGCTGAAATTTTTGGAGGAGACATTGCTACACTGTTCCAACAGTCAGAGAAAGAGAAGTCCAAGAGTGTGGGTGCCTTCCTAGGTAAGATCATGGCTGAGATACATATCTGTTCATTTAATATCCCCGCCTTCTCAGGATGCTAATGATGGATTACATCCCAGAATGGAATAGAAAGGGGCCGGGGATTTCAAAGTAGAAAGAATCACCTGACTGGCTATGCCCACAGGATTCCTCCAGTCACTCCAGCAACCTGTTCTCACAGTGGCCAGCCAGGTGCCTGTGGGAAACCAGCAAGCAGGACCTGAGGCACTGTAGAGGCAGAATATAGCCATTGTGGCTAGTAGCCATTGATGGCTCTCTCCTCCACGACTTTGTCAAATCCTTTTTAAAAGCCATCTAGATTGGTGGAGAAAAGAGAGAGAAGGAGAAGGGCACCAAGCTGTGGCAGAGCTGATTTTCCCATTAATCCCCACCTCCCCAAAAAAACTAACTTGTCCCATTGATTTCAGTGGACCTAAGGAAGGGGGATTCATGGAGGACAAGGTTATCGATGGCAACCTGCCATGATGGCTGTGCTCTGCTGCCACAGCCGGAGGCAGTAAATGCTTCTGAATACCAGTTGCTGGAAACCACAAGGTGTGGGGAGAGGGCTCTTCTGCTTGTGGGTTTCCCATCTGCTGGCCGCTGTAAGAACAGGATGCTGGACTGGATGGGTCATTTGGCCTGATCCAACAGGACTGTTTTTTGTGTTATTAGGTGCTCCCAGATGGGCTCTTAATACTGTGAACAGCTGAGATATTATAAATGGGTTGTTGGCAACAGGTTTACTTTACTGAATTTTCCTCAAATCCAAATTAAAATGGGGTTGAAATCCAAATAAATGGGGTTAAAATAGGGCTGGCATTTTGACACTTGTGTTTTGGCGCTGGAAATAAAAACCACACACACACACACACACACACACACTTTGCATTTCTGAGGAGCACAGCAGATGCACATTTATCTTGATGTGGCTTCCTCTTATCCCCACAGGCCAGCTCAATGATTCCTCAGATGAGATGGAAAGTGTTCCCTCCTACCAAGGAAGGGCAAATCAGCATTATGTGCGGGAAGCAGGCGGTGAGGGCCTCTTCAGCCCATTTGATGGACTGATGCTCAATGAGGATCAAGAGGACTGGGATTTGTTTAGCGAGATCACTGCCTGCTATCAGAGCAAAGCTGGACACGCCTGTTCCAACAGCTGCGACTTCCTGAGAGAGCAGGGATCCTTTTGCTCACACTGCCCAGTCTGCTCACTGGGGCCCTCAAGGAATCGGTGCTCTTCGGAGCCCAGCGTTTGCCTGAGCTCTCAACTTTCTGTTGAGGACCACGAGCCAGTGGCCCGGCAATCCAGTTGTGATGCCACCATCATGCACAGCCACAGTGATTACGTCCGCAGGCTCCAGCAACTGCAGATGGAGAGCCAGAAGATCATAGATGAAGGGCTGAACCCTGGTCCGAGCAAAGGAAAGCAGAGTTTCTGGGGGGCCTACCCAAGCACCAGCATGCCCAAGAAGCTTGACCCTCTGAAGTCGTGCCTGTCTAACACGTCTAGCTTCTCCAGCCTTTCATCAACCACCACATCTGCCTCCTCGCTGAGCTCCTTGGAGAGCGCTTTCTCGTACTGCTCCGAGTCATCTACCTTCAGCCCCACTGAAGCCTCCACCCCGTCATTCACATTTGAGACGTCTACCAAGCACCACGGCTTGTCCCCTAAGATGGCAGAGAGATCCTTGAAGGAGTGGCACAAGCCCTTGACCTCCCCATTGCCACTGGGCCCTTGCAATGTGGGCGCTTGCTGCGGGAGACAGGTGGATGACCAAGAGCCAAGCTGCAGCAGCAGAGTGTCATCGAGGGTCTACATACCCGTAGGTAGCCCGTTTCGCGAGGACAACTGGGATGAAGAGAGGAAAGAGGCAGGAGCTGCTGAGATGTTCGGACGCACTCCTGTGAAGTCAGACTTCAGAGGTCATTTCCCTAATACCAAGAGCGCTTCTCTGCCAGCACCGCAAGTGCAAAGGGAGAAATCTGTGAAGCACATTGAGATTAGTCGTCCCAAAACTTTGCACCACGGCCAAGAAAGCCTGAAGCGCACCAAGATAACCGTATTCATGGCACCTAAAACGAGCTATCCAACAGCATCTCCTGTAGGGCAAAACAAGGAGGAGACAGCCAAGAATCTGCAGAGCATGAAAATTCATATTCCGCAGACAGTGTTCTACGGGCAAAACACTCCTTTGGTCCTCCAGTCTGCCTCAAGGAGATACCACCATGAGTCAGTGAGCCAGTCACCCCAGGTGGAGATCCCTGAAAGTGTTCCCCTCGTGGAAGTCCCAGGGGACCCAGCTGAGCAGGTAGGGTGGCACACCAGGGTCCAGCGGAACACATTCGGCCAAAACCTCCGCGTCTTTCTCCCGACCTCCATCCGCAACACCGTCCGGGAGTACTTCAACCAGGAAAGCTCTAAGGAATACTGCATGATGAGAGCAGAATCGGTGGAGAGTGAGCTTCTGCGGAACAGGGCAGAGTGGCTTAGAAGCCAGCCCCGCCCCAGCGCCCCGCCCAAGAAGCACAGCGGTCGAATGTTTCCAGAAGAAACCATTGTCTAGGAGCAGAGCACCTGCACCTTGCGCATTTTTGTGCTTTCTTTCCGCATAGGGAGGATAGTCCTGTGAAAGTGCCTCTAAAATGCTTAGCTGAGATGTGAAGCTATTCGTTTTCATGGGCTGGTGTCAAGTGGCTGTCAGTGTGGTCATTTGTAGCTTTTCCCTTGGCCTCTGTGTGTGTGTGTGTGTGTTTCCCTGCCCAGAAGAAAAGACGGGAACAGATGGCTGCTAACATGAAGCCGTACTCCACACATGCAAAGCTTCATCCTGCTGCTTTCTGCTGAAGATGCCAGTTTGCACAGAGGGGTGAGCAGACAGGAGCAGAGTCACTCAAAAGGATTTTTGTTGTTGTTGTTTCAGCTCCATGCAAACGTCATGGCAAGCCTACAAGGACGCTGAGGAGACCCTTTCAATTACATTGAAAAAAAAGTACAACAAAAAGAAATCCTGGCTGTTTTTTGTTTTGCTTTTCACTTTGTTAGGTGAAACTCGAAAGAAAAACATTTCATCCCCCCCCCTTCATTTCTGAATTCTCATTGTTTGTGTGTTTAACTTGGGCATGACGCCCAAGGCCGTGTGGAAATAGTTATGTGATGTGGCCAAGTATGGGACAAAGCAAGAAAGCTACTGGTCTGCTAAGTTTGGTTTGGTCAGCTGGCTGCTTTCTTCTTAGGGAAGACCTACTGAAGCTCTCAAGGTATCCCAGGCTTGGCAGGCTTTGTGTGGCTTGTTGATCATACTTATGCCATCCCCATTTCATCTTGCCTTGACTCATGTGCTTCATGTGAACATTCTTTCTTTCTTGCAATGTTCTTTTGAAAGAATGGAGAAATGTCTCCGAATAGCCCTCCTTTCATCCACAGGGTTTTCACTTACCGTATTTTTCCGTCTGTAAGACGCCCCCATGTATAAGAGGACTATTTTGGAGGACTCAGATTTAAGAAAATGGGGGGAGATGTATCCATGTATAAGATGCTCCCTAATTTGTGACATTATTTTAAAGGAAGAAAACCTAATCATATACACAGAAAAATATGGTAACCTCCAAATCTCCCCTTGTCAGCACCGCCAACTTGAAAATTTCTTCGGTGGATTTCTTTATAAGGGACGCTGGGGTCATTTACAACTTTCTACAACTCTGGCTACTTCATGAGGTCCTGTCTCAAGGTCCCTCCCTCCCCAGCTGTGTTTTGATGCATCAAAGTTACTGGTCGTTGTTGTTATTATTATTTATTTGAACTTACTAGTCATTTTGCACAAAGGTCTTAAAATGTCTTACAACTAACAGCAACAAAAATAATATGCAGTACTAATAGTTTAAAACAGATACACAACACAAGGTAATCAGACCATGAAAACAATCCCTCTCCCTCCAACATAGGTCTGACCACAAGAAAAAAGCCACCAAAGAAGGGGGTGCCTCCCAGATAACTGGGGGGAAAGGAACATCTTTGCCTGGAGGCAAAAAATATCAATGTCAGTCAGTGGTGGAGCAAGCCGATCAGGCTCCTAGGGCGACATGTGTGCACTGCACCCAGGGGCGGAGCCAGTCATCCACAGGGGCGGAGCCAGCTGGCCACAGGGACACCGTGGGGCCTCCAAGGAGTATCTCCTCCCACTCAGCCACCCTACAGCTGAGGAGGAGGTAGCAGGCAGACTGTTTGGGGCAGCACGGAGGCTGCAGGTGCTCAGGCCATGGCGTCACTCCCAGGAGAGACGCGTGGCCTGGGCACTCTGCAGGCCCTGCAGTGAGTGCCGCCCACCATTTTGTCACCCCCCTCAGTGGGGACACCCAGAGCAGACCGCACCTACCGCACCCCCTTTGCTACACCCCTGATGTCAGTGCCAGGTGTGTCTCCCTAGGGAGAGATTTCCATAGATAGGCCTACTGAAAAGGCCTGTTTTCTGGACAGCTGCTCTCTGGACAGCTGCTGGTGGGGTACACAGAGAAGGGGCTCTTATGCTGACCTCAGGATCTTGGCAGGCATGTGTGAGAGGAAGGTGTTCTTTAAAGTATTGGGCTCCTTCTGAGCCAAGGAAAGCTATATAGATCAAAACTGATTTGGTTGTATTTACACATAGTCCAGCATAGAAGGAAGTTTGCATGTAGAGTAAAATGGGCAGAAGGAACAGAGGAAGGGCAATCTGAAATGAAATTTTAACAGGTGGCAAATAGGTCTGGCAATATCTTAGGGTGTTTTTTAAAAACTAGGCATACTGTGCTGTGGGTAGCGCTGACCCTGGTGCAAAGAGCAGCCTGCACTGATTTCAGGAGGGGAAAACAAAAGAATAGTCTGAGCCCAAGCATTGCCAAGGGAAGTGCATGGATGGCTACCCAAAGTGAAATCATGTGATCCTGTGTGCACATTGGAAAATGCTGTCTGGCCGGCTGCCAGTGCTGGCTCATCCACAGGGACAGCAGATCTGGCCACCAAGGAATACATCAACTGCTAGCTGAACCACATCTTTCTGCGAAAGAACAGAGCCATCCTTGCTTAGGGGACAGAAAGAGTATGTGATAGAGATTTTTTGAAGCAAGGTTTCGTTCAAACGTTATAGAAGGTTTTCCGAGTGGGACATGTAGAAAAGAAAGCTGGGCCACTTTTTTAAACAAAGTGTTTATTCGCTTTAACTACCGGTTTAAGAAGCTTTAATTGTTTCTGTGGTCTGCTCTTGAGCATTTTTCATTGAACCTAAAAGTAAGTAGAAGATCTCTCTTCCCTTAGTCAGTGGAAATCACTGTCCTTATCTTTAAACTGGAAGAAATAGATTTTTCCTGCTGATACGTGATCATTTAAAAAAAATAATGTTGCTGTTGTTCGTGTCGTGTCCCGTTGTGCTTGTTTGTTCTGTGAGTACAAGTTTAAGCTCTTTGTTGTCAATTTCTCTTGCACATAAAAGCTGATAAAGAGATTGTTTCCTTCTAGATTTCTAAGCTATGGTTGTAAAATATTTAATAAAAGAAGCACAGCTTTATTTGTCGAAACTGCCTACTCGTTTTTGTCCACTGCTTACTAAAGGTTGCTGGCTTTTAACACACATTTTATTTGTTAGAGACCACAGAGGAATTGTTGCGGTAGAAATAATCCTACTCACTTCATGTTTTTGCAATTAGGAAGGCTGGAGGTCTAAAGAGGTGCAGGGGTAACAACGACCTATGCTACCCCCTTGCCTCTTAGTGTCCCCCATAGCGATTCCCACCGCCCTGCACGGGGTGGCACCCCCCACTTTGGAACCACTGGTCTACAGGGATGGCATTCCAAAGCTATAGGGAAAAGGCCACTCACCGCACTGTCCTAGGGGGTGGGCACACCAAGAGGGCCTTCGATGCAGATCTCAAGTGTGTGGGCAGGGTGGTCTGGGTGCAGGCAACCCAACAATCCAGACCATATTAACACTTGCTGATTTCATGGACAGATCAGAACACACTTAACTCTTTCCCATTGAAATCAAGACTTCAGAGTGGCTCTCTTTGGCTGGAGCACTGCCTGACTCCCTTTTATAGTTCACCAATCACCACTGCAATACCTCTCCATGCGAAACCTCTTTTGTATGCTTGATTGCTAACATACACCTACAAACTTGGCCCTTTGGGGTCCCTTCCACCTCTACAATTATATTATTCCACATATAGCTGTTCCTAGGGTGTTTTGCACTGTTCAAACAAGTGCATCCCCACCACCACCACCTTTGGTTTCCTGATTACATGTGGGATATCATATATATTTTTCCTGGGTTGTTCTTAATATTTAACAGGCTCTTGGGCCATTAAAATGTTTCAGAAGCAATTCACAGTATTGAAGAGGGCAGTGAAGATTCTCGACAGTGGGAAAGAATCTCCTTATCTAAATGTTCCAAATCCCCGTTTTCAAGATAGGAGTAAACAGAATGAAAAGTTAAGTTTTCTTTGGAAGGAAAATTTTAAATATGTATTCCAAGAATCTAGAAAGATATCAAACTGGCTCAAAAGTCATCCTGACTTCAGCCCAAAGAAGGAGTTTTGGCAGGGTCTGAATGTCCCCTGCCCCTCCCAGCTGCACATGAACCATCAAACTGTTGTCATATTATTAAAGAACAACAAATAATTTAGGGAGCCGTATTCTCACATGTTTACTAAAAGTGGTGGAGGGATCATGTCCAGGAGGCGGAAATTTGCTCCAGATGCTTAATACACCACTCATATTCGGGGTTTTCAAAGTCCTCATGGGGCTTTGCAAGAATCCTGTGCTTGTCGCATTGTTCCATTCCCCAATTCTTTAGATCCTGAGGTCAGTGGTGCCCTGTGCCCTCCCCCACCAAAAAAAAGGGTTTAAAAATCAAGATTACAAAAGTTGGGTGCCACCCCCTCTCTCTGCTGAGTGGTAGAAAAAGCCCATGGGGTTCTGGGCACTCAGCCAGGGTCTGTGGTTCTTTGGGGACTTGAGACACGATGGAGACTGTCATAGCTTTAAAAAATATGGTTTAGTCACCTATTTACACCTTCAGGCTGCATGGAGGGAGTCCAGATCTTACTGCATTGTCATCTCAAGAGGGGCTTGTTCCCTTGTCTTCCACAGCATTGCAGCCCTGGAGTCCAAAGGCATCTCTCTCAGCCAGCCTTCAGCCAACCTGCCCAAGATGGATCCCGGTCTTTTCTCTTCCTTCTTCTTCCCGAAGTGTTTTCTTCCTCAAAAACTTTATTTTCCTGTCCCTTCAAACAGACCTTGGCAACATCTGTCTCCCCAGGCCAAAGGATTACTCTCAAATGGCCCATCAACACCTTTTGTCATGTTAACAGATTTGTTCTTCACTGGGACAGCCAGACTGGTTTACATAAACCAGCCCAGGTATTCCATGTCTGGCACAGCTCTGCAGCTTGTACTTTTATCCATATCCCAATTAAAATCCTACCATTCAATAATTTCTAGGGTTTGGGAAGGTCCTCCCAAATCAATAGCATTATTACTTATTAAATGTATTGGTTTTTTTGCCACAGCAACTTGAGATGAGTCACAATAAACAGAAAACAAGCACATACAGATGCAAACATACATAAACTGCATTAAAATATCCCACCCATGCCGAAAGGCCACAGTCGAAATCCAAAGCCCTGGTTAAAAAAGGAACTGAATGAATACGCAGTAAAATAGCAAATAGAATTCAACGCAAAGAAGAAAAATCTTAATTTCATATACATGTTCATGGGACTAAACTGAAGATGACGGAGTAATAATTTGGGGTCATTGCAGAGAGCTTGATGAAGATGTCGATGCAGTGCATGGTGTTCGTGAAAAAGGCAAATTCCATTCGGAAAGGAATTGAAAATAAAGCTACCAATATCATAACGCCATTACACAAATCAATTTTGGGACGTTTTAGTTTAGTTTAGAGAAAACGTGAATAAAGGTTTTTAGTTTAGAGAAAAGGTGAGTGAGAGGCGACATGACAGAATCAAAGAGTTGAAAGGGACCTCCAAGGGTCATCTAGTCCAACCCCCTGCAATGCAGGAATCTCAACTAAAGCATCCATGACAGATGGCCATATGTTTATAAAACAGTGCATGGCTTGGAGAAAGTGGAGAGAGAGAGTTGTTCTTCTCCATCTCTTATAACACCAGAACTTCGGAACATCCAATAAAGCTGAATGTGGGAAGATTTAGGACAGATAAAATGTAAATGTAGTAAAATATATAATTAAGCAAGCAAACAAATAATAAAAGGCTGGTGGTCTTAAGATTATAAAACAAAATAACTTTGAATTTGCAAATAAACTGGGAAAGTTGCTGGCTTGGCAATTTAACAAAGAGAGTAGACCAAGAGTAATCAATGACCCAAAAGAAATAAGATGGGAATTTGTAAGGTTTTACACAGATTTGTATAAGAAAGAAAAATAAGATCTCAAACAAATAGAGAACTACGGTATATATAGGAAAGTAAGCTGGGCAACACTTCAAGAGAAAGTATAGAGCAACTAAATAGGCCAGTTTCAATTATTTGAAATTGGAATTACATCAGGTGATAAGTCAGGGAAAATTGGGTAAAGCCCCAGGGACAGATGGTGGACTACTACAAAAAATTCCAGAACAAGTTAGCTGTCCATAGCTGTCCAAAGTGCTAGAAACAGGACAAGCTCCAGAGACTTGGAATGAGGCTTATATCACCTTTCTACCAAAACAAGATGACGACATGACAAATCCCAAAAGATTTCGTCCGATCTCACTACTAAACTGCGATTATAAATTATTCGCAGCAGTGTCAGCAAATAGACTTAAAAGAACTATGAGTGACATAATACATAAGGACCAAGCAGGCTTTCTCCCCAGCAGACAGATAAAAGTTAATGTTAAAAATATAATAAGCATAATAGAATACCTAGAAGTGCATAATGAAAAACAAGCAGCATTGATATTTCTGGACGTGGAGAAAGCATTTGACAATGTGTCTTGGCTATTTATGAAGAGAGTTCTGAGGGAAATGGATTTGGGGAAAACATTTTTAAAGGCTATAGAAGCAATATGTACTGAACAACGAGCAAATATTATTGTAAATAACATTATTTCTGAGAGGTGGAGTCATGAAAGGAACTAGACAAGCCATTGTCCCTATTATTGTTTATTTTGATTTTGGAGGTATTGACACAAAATATAAGGAATAAAAAAAAATAAGGGGTATAAGAGTGGGCCAATGAAATTATATAAAGAGTGAAAAGAAAGTAAAATACCTGGGAAATATGGCTAATGGTGAATAATCATAATATCATTTAGTGATAACTATGTATGGGTTTGGAAAGAAATAGAAAAAGCTCTGCAAATTTGGAGTAGAATGCAATTATCACTGCTAGGTAGTGATTGTGTAGCATAACTAAAAATTATTGGAAAATGATTTATACTGAACGAAAAAAACCATTTTAAAAATCCTTTCCCAAAAATCCAGAAGCATTGCTCTTAGGGTTAATAACAACAGAAGTCTCCAAAAAAGAGGGAAATCTGTTTCTATGTGCAACAACGGCTGCCCGTGTACTATTAATGCAAAAATGGAAAACAGATAAAGTACCAATGATAGAAGAATGACACATTAAACTGTTAGAATATGCAGAGCTAGCAGGGATGACTACTAGAATAAGAAACCAAAATGACTAAATATATAAAGAGGACTGGATTTTTTTAATGGAATATATGGAAATGTATTATAAGCAAACAATTTACCGAGCAGGATGGCAAGACTTCCAGCAGAGTAAGAAATAAATAAAGTATATAAAAGTTGTTGTGACAGATGAGGTAAACTTAGAAAATGCAGGGGAAAGAGAGGATAAAGGAACCTCGGAAGGAGAGGATAGAATTGTTTTATGTTGTTGTTTGGTTTATTCTTTGATATCTAAAATCTTAAAAAAATATTTTTTTTGTATTTCAAATATTTTTCTTTATTGTATCATTTTTGTTTATATTTTGTTGATACGGAATCCTATCAGAAAAGCATATCAATAAAATATGAATATCTAATCAAACAAGCAAATAATAAAAAGCTGTTGGTCTTTGTAGTGAAATAATAATTTTCACAGTCAAACCCGCATTTTGATGTTTACTTATTAAGAATATTTATATCCCACCTTCCCAAAAGAAAATTGCGCAAGGTGGCCAACCATAAACGGAAAATGCATCGAACAACAAACTAAAACGTATTAACTATGCTATGAAAATAACACAATGAAGAAACAAACAGTTATTAAAGAGGAGGACTAATCATAGATACAAGCAGCAGAAAGGTTTCTAAAGCTCACCAGCTTTTAAAATTATATTTATATACAGTGGTGCCCCGCAAGACGAAATTAATTCGTTCCGCAAGTTTTGTCGTCTAGCGAATTTTTCGTCTTGCGAATTATTATTTAGACAAAGGAAACAAAGTCGCGAGACGTTTTCGTCTTGCGAAGCAAGCCCATAGGGAAATTCGTCTTGCAAGGCAACTCGCAAACGGAAAAACCTTTCGTCTAGCGAGTTTTTTGTCTTGCGAGGCATTCGTCTTGCGAGGTACCACTGTACGTTGGTTTTGAGTGAAACAATCTATTGGTCCCTCCTGCAACAGATGCAGGGTTTCTATGATTAGTCAAAGAGCGAAGGCTGCTGTGAACTGGCGTATTATAGTACACCGTAAGACTGGGATGCCCATCACCTTAGCTGATAAAGTTTGGCAGTTCCCGCATTGCTCACAGTAAGAATCACCAGCATTGTTAACAAAAAGTTGCTTCCATTTCACCGTCATATGTATTACAGACCAGCAAAATGAGGTTCAGAGACATAAGGACCCCAGAACTATCTTTTAAGTATCAAGGGCATGCTATGCAGTTTTCACATATGTCATGCCAAATATCGAACTTCAGTACACATGGCAGGTTTTAAATACAGAAGGCATCTCAAGAAGTCACAAGGAAAAGCAAGCAACAGCAAAATGATCAAGAAACATGAAGCCTGAAATGATTGCATTGTAGGAAGAGCATTCAGGAGAACACTGTGTCAGCTATTATTGCTTGGTTTGCTTCTCCACTTCCAGTTCTCTCCTGATGTCTGACACATCTGTGGGGACCTGGACCGTGAGGCCATCCATCCAATTCTTCACGCGCACCTGGCAGCCTAGACGAGACCTTATAAAGGACAAAAACAGACCCAGACATCTCTTGGTTTTGTTGTGTGTGCTTTCTTGGCTCCCTGGCTTCGGAACTCACTTCCTAAGGAAGCAGCTCCTCCCCACTGTGCTTCTGCCTGACAGCTGAAGGCTGCTTTATTCCAAAAGGCCTTAGGGAACAGACTTATTTTAAAGGAAAGGGCTTTTAACAACGCTGTGCTGCTTTTATTTATTCTTTATTTATTGAATTTATATGCTGCCCTTCATCCGAGGATCATGGGGTAGTTTGCAGTATGAAAATGACAAAAAATACACTTGGCAAATGAAAGCAAGCTTTTGTGTATGTGTAGCTGTGGAAATGGGGCGCAGGTGGCACTGTGGGTTAAACCACAGAGCCTAGGACTTGCCGATCAGAAGGTCGCGGTTCGAATCCTCGCGACGGGGTGAGCTCCCGTTGCTCGGTCCCTGCTCCTGCCAACCTATCAGTTTGAAAGCACGTCAAAGTGCAAGTAGATAAATAGGTACCACTCCGGCAGGAAGGTAAACGGCATTTCCGTGCGCTGCTCTGGTTCGCCAGAAGTGCTTGGTCATGCTGGGCACATGACCCGGAAGCTGTACGCCGGCTCCCTCGGCCAATAAAGAGAGATGAGCTTCGCAGCCCCAGAGTCATCTGCAACTGGACCTAATGGTCAGGGGTCCCTTTACCTTTACCTTTTAGCTATGAAATTTGTCTCAATTGTTGTTGAACAATGTAACCAAATTACAGTTACAGTTATTGATAGTCCTATGCTTTTTCCTCTATTTGGAAACAAGTACCGGTAAGAAAAAACCTCTTCAGCTTTTCCAGTCAAAGACACTGGGTAGGGTCACATGTGCTATGTATGTATGTATGTATGTATGTATGTATGTATGTATGTATGTATGTATGTCTCTCTCTCTATATATAATAAAATATATAAAATATAATAATTCACACACACAATAGAATCAAATGACATCAACCCATACTACTGCAGCAAGTTGCCACTCTTCACTGAGGTCATCTTTGGAAGCTTTGCTGTAGGTTCCCTGCCATGCGAGATAAGGAGGCTGGTGACCAGAGACACAGCCTTCTTCACAGTAGCACCCTGCAGGTGCAATGCCCTCTCTTCTGAGATGCGCCTGGTGCCAACTTTGGTTTCATTTCAGGGCCAGGTGAAAACCTGCTTATTTACTCAAACTTCAACTGATCATTAATCTCAGCACTTAATCTCTAGCTCACTTGGTTATAGCATGGAACTGATAATGCCAAAGTTGCAGGTTCAATCCCTGTGTGGGACAGCTGCATATTCCTGCAATGCAAGGGGCTGGATTAGATTAGGGTTGCCATATTTCAAAAAGTGAAAATCCGGACTAAAAAATTGTTGCGCTTTTGGGGGGGGGGAGTTGTTGAGCTGCTTCTTTCTTTCTTTCTTTCTTTCTTTCTTTCTTTCTTTCTTTCATCTTTTTTTCTGCCATAGAAGACATTTTGAGCTATTTTAAAGTAACTTTGCCAGAAATCTTCACTTCTGACATGGGTTGCCATACGTCTGGATTTTTCCGGACATTTCAACTATTTGAAATCCCAGACGCCGATTGCAAGGGCCAAATCTCAGCTATGTCCGGGAAATTCTAGACGTATGGCAACCCTAGATTAGATTATCCTCAGGATACCTTCCAGCAATTCTGTGATTGTTGCTTGTGCCAGAACCAGGTCACCAGATGGAACAGAGCTGCCAGAATGGCATCCTGGGAGCTGGATCACTGTTTCTAAGTAGGAGGATTGAGATGGGGGAGGGGGCAGCACTGTGCAAACACACTGGCAGGAGCGCCATAATGATGCCACTGGTGCACCTACATGGCAGTAAAGCTCACTACCACCTTCATAGAATCACAGAACTGTAGAGCTGGAAGAAACACCAAGGTCATCCCCCTGTTTCTCTGCCTCTCCTTCCTCATTTTTCATAAGCAATTTTGCTTCCAGTGGTTCCACAAGCTATAAAGGTATTCTTACTGCCATATTCCCCGGAGAGGAACCACTTCTAAAATTTCACCTGGCACTAAAAGGAAATCAAAGGGGCAACAGGAATTTCCATGTTGCTTTTTAAAAGGCTAGAACTAAGATTCTGAGGATGCAGAATTCTGCCCCCATCTTGAGTTTCGATCCTGCGCAGTTCAATTCAGCATGCAAATATGCAGTGTCTAGAAACAGGGTATGGATACTTACGTCTCGGTAAGTCCGTATGCCAGGTCCAGCATATCTATCTCTTCGTCACTGATGGGGTCCAGTTGTTGAAATGTGCTGCCCTCAAAGATGAGGTGGCAAGTGGAGCAAGCCAAGGCCCCCTCACATGCCCCTTCGGGGGGGGGGAAGGAATCAGCATCAATGCTACATACTTGTCTTAGTCATCTGCTGCAAGAACCTACAGTGTTGCACACATATATCACATACTCTCCAACATTTCTCCGATGAAAATAGGGACATCCCATTCCATAACAATAATTTTACTATTTATACCCCACACATCTTTATGGGTTGCCCCAGCCACTCTGGGCAGCTTCCAACATATATAAAAGCATAATAAAACATTTAAAAAACTTCCCTATACAAGACTGCCTTCAGATGGCTCGGGGGTCAGATAACTCCATATCCTCCAACATTTCTCCAGTGAAAATAGGGACGTCCTAAGGAAAAGCGGGACATTCTGGGATCAAATCATAATCCGAGATGCCTTCTGTAAATCAGGGAGGTCCCTGGAAAATAGGGACACTTGGTGGGTCTGATATTCTAAAGAAACCACTATCTCTGCTGACCCTGATTCCAAGGAAACAGAACCCTGAGTAAATGCTGGAACCCCTGAAATCTGTCACCAGACGGAGATTACAATGTGCACAAACAGTGTCCCCAACCCTAAATTACTGTAGTTGAAGTGCAATTGCTGAGGGTTGCTACTGCATCCCATAAGGTTTGTTGGCTAAAATCATCAATGGATAGCCCCCCCTCCCTCCCTCCCTCCCTGAGGTTGCTGAAAAAGAAGAGTTTGTAGGCTGTACATCACTTGCACCTGCTTTTGCTGCCACCTGCTGGATCTGCCTTATTACAACACATCATTTTCTTCTTCCTTACACCCCGGCAGAGAAAGCAACAGATTTGTATTTCATTTATTTGTTATTGCATTTATATATCACCCTTCTCTCCAGGAGCTCAAAGTGGCATACATGGTTCTTTCCCTTCCTCACTTAATCCGCACAACAACTCTGTGTGGTAGGTCAGGCAGAGAGGCAGTGACTGGCCCAAAGTCATAGAATCAAAGAATTGTAGAGCTGGAATCATCCAGTCCAACCCCCACTTGTTCCATGCATGGATCAAACCTGCAACCTTGGCATTATCAGTACCACGTTCTAACCAACTGAGCTATCCAAGTGAGCTTTGTGCCTGAGTGGGGACTTGAACTTTGGCCTTTCCTAGGCCCTGGTCCAACACCCTGAGCCCTGTGCCACCATTGGCTCCTGCTGCCTCTAAGGAAGACCACATAACACAGACTTGCATTGGCACATATAATGTTTGAGAGAAAGTGGGAATCTTTGACCTAGTGGGGTAGCTTTGTGGGTTTTGCTTGTGCAATTATTTTTATTCATTTATCTGAATAAATAAGTTGGACACACTGGTATGGTGTGTGGGTATCGGGGTGTGTGTGTGTGTGTGTGTGTGTGTGTGTGTGTGTGTGTGTGTGTGGTGTATGCATGTGTGATGGCCACAGAGGTGTCCAATTAGGGGTTTCAGGTCTGAATCAAAAGGAAGTAAAAGAAAGTCGGTCGTTGCATGGCACTTGGACCCTCTGAACCAGTGCTGTTTCCTTCCAGAAAGAGAGGTGCCTGCGTTCACCACGAACGCCTCCCTTGTTCTCTTAGAATGGCAATGGTACACACTTGAGAGGGGCCAGAACAGAGTTCCATCTGGCTAGAGCCATACAATACAAGAGTCTCCCACTCACCCAAACCATGTGGGGGTAGAGCAGGAAGGTAAGAGAGAAAAGTGTAAGAAGAGAGGCGTCCATTTGTGGGGCTCATTTTGAAAGCCTGACGCATGGACTGCTTGCCTGAAAAGTGGGGACTGAGTTTATTTATAGAAGACTGCTGTGAAGAGTAAATAGTGTTTGATTCCAGCATGCTGTTAGCAACTGACTGCTTTTAAGGAAATGGCCTTTAAATCGTGCTGTGCTGTTGTTACCTATCTACACTGTAATATATTTGTTTTTGCATCATTTATGATTATATTATAGGTTAATTACTTTGCTTTAATCTTTGTGAGCTGCTTTTAATCCTGGTTCAGGGGGAAAGGCAGGGTATAAATAAATAAAATTGATGATGATAACAACAACAACTAGATTGCTTCTCCTGACTAGTATCTAGCTCCTACCAAATACACTTTGGAACTCCCTGCAACTTGATATCAGGCAAGCACGTTTGCTGTGCTCTTTCTGGTGTGACATTTTTGTTTGGACAAGACTACTTATATATCTAGAGCATTGATGTGTATTCTAATCTGATTTTTGTTTATTGCTGATGTGTTTTTTTAATGATTTAAATTGTTGCCTTTACCTGTTTTACTTATGTTTTATGGCTTTCTCCTTTTTCTAAATGACTTGAAGATGCTGTGTTGTTGTTTTTACACATTTTATGAAATAAATTAATAAAAACAGTAACTGGAGCTGTATACATGTTACTGCCTTAAAACACAGTTAGGCTGTTCTTTTTCTCAATTTGGATCTAAGGTGGTTTTGGGAGAAATGCGTCAGAATATAGCATTTCATAAGAAATGACAGGATGGATCTGGCTCATTACTAGCGCCATGTGTTACCACTTAGCAAATCGGTGATGGGAGTGCGCATGAGGTGCGGAAAACGACTTAAGGCTAAAGAAAGAGAACGGGTCACATCACTTACCAAAGCCATCGATGTCGATGTTTTGATTCATCACCACCTCCAGCAAGCTTTCTCCTTCTTTAGCGGTGACTGAGAATTTATCTCCATCCCGGTTAATAAAATTTAACTTCACTTTCTCAGTAGATCTGTGGGAGGGGGAAGCACACATTCAATAAAGTTAGGATGCTTCCAGACATGAGAAGATCAATATTATCATTGTTGCAGTAAATGCTTCCAACGGTGACGGTGGTGGCGGTAATTAAGTCTTGTTTTCATTTGCTTCCTATGAAGCATCTCAAAGGGATTTCACAGTACAATAAAAGCACATGCAAAGCAATTACCTAGATGAAAACAATTTCACATCCAATACTGATGCAGCCAATGATGATGATGATGATGATGATGATGATGATGATAATAATAATAATATCCCCACCTATAAATGGCTTGTTGGAGACCTCTTCCAAGGGAGCTCTGAGAATTGTAGCTCTGGGCGAGGAATAGGGGACCTCCTCACAACTCTCAGCACCCTTAACAAACTAGGATTCTTTGAGGGAAGCCATGGGTGTTTAAAGTGGTATCGTCATGCTTTAAATGTGGTATGACTGTGGCCTAAGGGGCAGCAAGAGAGGATTCAGGCCCAGGCGAGTTTTAACCTGCCAGGCCAAATGCAGCTGCCAGGTGTTTTGTCCTGCTGGGTCCTTGACCATCTCCCCCTCTCAGTTCAGGATGTCCCAAGCAGGGAGATTTCTCAAACCACGGGTGGGCTGTCACACAGGCTGCACGTGGCCTGTTGCATCACAAGTGTGCAGGCCTGAGATAACGGTAGAGAAGTGTGAAGGGTTAAAGACTGGCAATCTGTGCAGAAAGATTAGAGGCATTCAACATGCCATTTTAAGCAGTCATGACTCCCCCAAAGGCTTCTAGGGGTTGCAGTTTGTTAAGAATGCTGAGAGTTGTTAGGAGACCCTTATTCCCGTTCCCGAGGTATGATTTTTAGAGTGATAGAACAGTCAATAATTCTTTAGTGGAACGTATGGAATCTATCATCTATCTATCATCTATCTATCTATCTATCTATCTATCTATCTATCTATCTATCTATCATCTATCTAATACTGTTTTTCAGTTTGAATGTATGGGTACCATGAATCCAATATGGGAGAAAGGCGGGAGAGTTTTGTTGATTTGTTTTTTAGAAAAGAAAAGAAAAGAAAAGAAAAGAAAAGAAAGAAAAGAAAAGAAAAGAAAAGAAAAGATAAGATGAGCAGTAGAGAGGTGAGGTTGTTCCAATGGAAGGATCTGTTCTTTCCCAGGCTCCATACATAGCTGTATTCAAATAAATTGTCATTTATGCATCTTGCTACAACCTCCTCACAGCTGGAGCAAAGGCACTCCATCATAAAGACCTAGAAAGGTGGCTTAACGGTGCAGTCCTATATGTGTCTGCTCAGAAGCAAGTCCTGTTGAATTCAGTGAGATTAGCATCCACACCCCCTTCCTCCAATGGGATCTACGGAAGCAAAGAATTTAGTTAAGATCCTGACTTACCCTGTGCCCCCCGCGGGGACATATTGAAGCCTGTGGCTGGTACTGAAGCATCTCCCCAGGTGAAGGCCAGCCAGTGCCGGACTGCAAACAGTTGTCACAAAGATAACCTGGGCTCTGGCCCTGTGTGCTTGAGACAGCCCAAGGCGGAGGAGCCCAGAGATGCTCCGAGACATCATGCTGACAAATCTTGATGTCTCCTAGTCTTTCAAGGACTGCAGTGCTGATATAAGTGCAGATGGGAAGGGGTTGGGACAGCCTCCCTGGGAGGGAGGGAGAGAGGGGGCACCGTTGTTCCAGCCCATCCCACGGGGGGAGTGGGGAACTGTGGTTGCACAAGACATGGGTTGCAAATGTGGTCACGTGCGTAGGCTTGTGTCAGCCGTGATGAGACTTGCATCCCTCATTTGTTCTGACTTATTGGAAACTGCATCAGCACGAACGCTGCCTGTCGGGGAAAGCTCACTTTGCTTAATTTTGAGCCAGGGGTTCCCCTCCCCCTCTTACATAGTAAGGCTGATCCATCATATGCAATGGCCACGGCATTTTGGGGTAAGCAGAGGATGTAAGGAGGGGCAGGAGCTGCCTGCTGTCCTGGTCTCCTTGGGGCACCACTGCAAACCTTCACCTAACTGCTGCATCCCCAAGACAAATGGTGACCTGTTTATTTGCTACAATCTCAGGGACGTGGGGTTACTGTGAGGGATGTCTGCCTTGAGGCCAGGGAAATCCCTGATCCCATTTTAGATCACTGGTTGTAGCTGTGAATGAAATTTGGGCACATGTGCATGCAGGGTATCAATCTCTCCCTTGCTGCTGCCTTAGAAATAAGGGGGAGGGGGAGCCAGCCCTTCTCCTGGACTCCAGATGGTGAAAGCCACAAGGCCTGCATGTCTTTCACTGGCCAAGTTTTAAAATGCGTCCCTGGCCTCCTTCTGCTCCCCAATCAGAAGCAGCATCCTGCATGCTGTGCCTCAACCATCCAAAGTGGCTTATCTCACAGGCAAACCTTGAACTGAAAGATGTGGGAGATGAATGTGTCCCTTTTGCCAAGGACTCCCATATGACTGGCAGCGACCTCTCCTCTGTCATCTGAGAGATAGTTGCTCAGAAGGCAGGACAAGACAGAGGCCCTTGGAAGGGGAATGGGGGAGTCCGTTTTTATTTATTATGTTTGGTGTACATGCACCAAGCTAGAGGGATTTAAAAGAGGATTGGACTAGGAGGAGGAGGAGGAGGCTGTCAGTGGCAACTGGCCATGGCAGCTGTGCGCTTTCTCCGTGGTCAGAGGCAGCAGTGCTTCTGAATACCAGGTTCTGGAACTCACAGGAGGGGAGAGGGCTCTTGTGCTCATGTCCTGCTTGCAGGTTTCCCATAAGGGGCATCTGGTCTGTCACCAGGATACTGGGCAAGATGGGCCTCCTTTGTTCTGAGCCAGCAAGCTCTTATGTCCTTAATACTCTGCAAAACAAGAAAGTGCCAACTCAGACCATTCATCCATCATGCATGGCGAAAGTAGGCAGAGGAAAGTTCTTCTCCCTCTCTCATAACACCGGAACTCATGGCTATCTAATGAAGATTGTTGGGATATACTGTATTTTTCCGTGTATAATACTAGGTTTTTCCCTTAAAAAATAATGTCCAAAATTATACACGGGGGCCATCTCCCCCCATTTTCTTAAATCGGAGTCCCCCAAAATAGGGGGCGTCTTATACATGGGAGCGTCTTATAGACGGAAAAATAAGGTATATTGGAATATATAATGAATTATGTTGGGAGATTTGGGACAGATAAAGGGATGTCCTTGTTTATGCAGCAGAGAGTTATACTGTGGAACTCACTCCCACGGGAGGCAGTCATGGCCACCAGTCTAGACAAATACTTGGAGAAGGCTATCAGCCTTGGCTGCTAGCCAAGATGGCTATGCTCTGCCTCCATAGTCTGGGGCAGTAATGCTTCTGATTATCAGTTGCTAGAAACCACACAGCAAGGGAAAGTGCTCTTGTGCTCCATTCCTGCTTCAGGGTTTTGTGTTGGGGCATTTGGTTGGCCCCTGTGAGAGCAGGATGCTGGACTAGTTGGGCCATTGGCCTGATCCAGCAGGCTCTTATTAGTTTAAGGTAAAGGTAAAGGTGCCCCTGCCCGTACGGGCCAGTCGTGTCCGACTCTAGGGTTGTGCGCCCATCTCACTTAAGAGGCCGGGGGCCAGTGCTGTCCGGAGACACTTCCGGGTCACTTGGCCAGCGTGACGAAGCTGCTCTGGCGAGCCGGCACCAGCGCAGCACACGGAAACACCGTTTACCTTCCCGCTATAAAGCGGTACCTATTTATCTACTTGCATGTAGGGGTGCTTTTGAACTGCTAGGTGGGCAGGAGCTGGGACCGAAAGACGGGAGCTCACCCCGCCGCGGGGATTCGAACCGCCGACCATGCGATCGGCAAGCCCTAGGCGCTGAGGTTTTACCCACAGCGCCACCCGCGTCCCACCGACGCTTATTAGTTTAGTGTTGGCTATATGAAGTGTGGAGAACCAGTTGCTCCTCTGACGTTGTTGGACTCTGTGACGCCCATGGGCCGAGCCAAATGGCAAGGATGATGCATAGTCTAAAAATGTCTAGTAGAGGAGATCCCTGGGATTGCTCCTGGGACCTTCTGCATACAAAGCAAGGGCTGTCCCACAGAGCTATTCAACCCTTCCCAAAAAGGACCCTGTGTTGTAGCTAATGGATTAATGTATTTATTGCAGCTAAGATTTGGGTTCCATTGGGAAAAGGCAGAAACACCAACTATAATATCATGGGAGCTTAAGAGGTGGTCTTTGCCAAAATATTTGAAACCCACTAATCTTATGCACATCAGAGAAGGCATAGGCGTGAAACATGGACTGTAACAATTAGATTTTCTCAGAACTGGAGAAATCAAGATAAAACAAGAGTTGATAGCTGGTTTGGGGGGGGGTATTAAAAAAAATAACTTTAGGATGCAGAATGATGGATGTAGTAATTTAAATTATATATTTTATTGGATTAATGTATTGTACATTATAGATTATATCAAATGCTCTTTATAAGATATTGTTATTGATTTAGGGGGTGTCCATCTGGATGATGCCCTGAGTACCTTCCAATACCTGGTGTCCTTTGTCTGTGGAGGTAGAATGTAGAAGTGCAAGCTTCCAAACCAGCCCCCTTGGCAAAGCAATGGCTTTGGTACCTTGATTAGCATAACCCAACAAGTTGCTCTGTGTCATAGAACAAATGGGTGGGCCTTCCTGGCTCACCTAGCTGTTAGGTTGGAGAACAAGTGCCAGGGTGGTGGGGGTGAGCTGACCTGGAAGCCAGGTGGAAGCTGGAGACACAGAGAACTGCTTGCTCCATGCTGGATCCAAAGCTTCAAGATCTGTTGAATGTTAACACTGAGAGCCCCTCCGTCTTAGGCTCAGGCTGTATGTGTAAACAAAGCTGTATATCCTAAAGTCATCATAGTCTCTGCTGACCTTCTTTCCAAGGAAACAAAACCCCGAGTAAACACAGGAACCCCCAGAGTGCCTCATCTCTTGGGGGCTGGGGTGGCCAGTACCAATATTGTGCATGTTTTGTATTTATTTCAACAATTATTTTTAAAGCCTTTCCAGGCCTGCTCACTGGTGCATGGAAAACTACAGCTCTCCACCACTCTCCCTTCTCTTCAGATCCAGAAGTGCTGAGGCCAACAAGCCAGGGTTGCACTTCTAGGAAGACAGAAGATGACACCCAGAGAGGAGCTTGGAGGACATTGAACTGGGGCCAGAAGGTCTGAGTGAAGGTTGCTGCAGCTGATGTTTTTCCTCATTCCTGTGGAATCCTTGAGTTGCCTAAGAAGTATTTGCAGCCATAAATCATTAAGGCTTGCCTGTGCCCCTTGGAAACTTTTTCCTTGACTCTACTATAATCACATCCCAAGGCAGAAATGAGAGAGGCCAACACTGTATCTGTACAAGGTGACCAGTTTCAGGAATCCAGTATCGTTTTGCAAGTGATTATGTGGAGATGAGTCTTCCCATTAAGGAAGCAGAAGGGACAGAAACTTGGGAGTAATTATATAAATAGAAGGTGAAAAGCAACATGACAGAAGTTTATAAAATTATAAATTAAAAGATAATGCTTTCTCCTGCTCTGGAGGCTAGGAACTGAACCTGAACCAAGTTACGAAAAGAGATATTCCTACTAAACATCAGGAAGAACTTTTGGACGGTAAGAGCTCTTTGACAGTGGAACAGACTCCCCACGAGAGATGGTAGACTCTCCTTCCTTGGGAGGTTTTTAAGCAGAGGTTGGATGGTCATCTGCAAGGTATGATTGAGAATCCTGCATTGCAGGGGGTTGGGGGTTGGACTAGAGGACTCTTGGGTTACCTTCCAACTCTGCAGGTCTATGATTCTACTCCTTTAATTACTTGGCATGTTGCAGAAAATGGTTGTACTGCACACAATAATTAAATAGTCTTTCTCAAGCCTACCTGGAGATACCAGGGATCGAACTGGAGGCCTTTCATGCATTGAGGCACCTGTTCTCCCAGTGAGGTATGGTCCTTCTGCATAAGATGTAACCCAAACCTGCAGCACTATACAGAAATTCTCTTATCTATATTGTTCTACAATGCCCCCTAATGGTTCAATAGAGCACATGGCAAAGAGTTTTCAATTTCATCAGATTCAAGGGGAACAAATGTATGTGTATGACTTCTTATTTCAAGGCAATTTAGGAGGGTTGTTTTGCAGTGGCTTAATAAATTAAAATGCATTCAATTTTATTTTATTTTTTTAAAAAACCACCTTGAGTGTTTCAAGATATCGAAGGGCCTGAAAACAAGGAAGTGAAAAGAGCTGAATATGGTTAGCCTGGAGAAGAAGAATTAAGATGGCGTGACAACCATCTTCAGGACTTCTGCAGAGGATGGAGCAGAGTTAATCAGTTGTCTATTACTGCAGGTGGCCTTAGCCAATGGTGGAAATGGGAGAGATTTCAGCAGAAATTCAGAGTAGCTTCCTAATAGCAGGCACAGGCAAACTCCAGCCCTCCAGATGTTTGGGACTACAATTCCCATCATCCCTAGCTAACAGGACCAGTGGTCAGGGATGATGGGAATTGTAGTCCCAAACATCTGGAGGGCCAGAGTTTGCCTATGCCTACTAATAGCACGAGATGTTCAACAGTGGAACAGGCTGTCTCATGAAGAGAGTGGGCTCTCCTGTTTTGGAAATATTTGAGTAGAGTTTGGGCCACCAGTTAGGGATGCTGGAGATGAAGACCTTGTACTGAGCATGGGGCAAGACTAGAAAAGTCCGAGCTTTCTTCCAACCCTGATTCATGCCAGTGACAGCTTTCATCTAACAACACCCAATCCTTGCTGGCCTATAGGGTAAGTAGTCCTTTTGCTGTAGCACAGATCATTGTTCTAGTAAATTTTCCTAAGCTATAATAGCACTCTGGTTAATCAACCGGCTGTATTCCCATCCCAATTCTAGGCTCATCTTGCCCCTACCCCTCTGTTGACCCCAGTACACAGGCAGCTTCCATCTGCAATGGATTCAAGTTACAAGAAGGGAAATTTTGACTAAAACCTTAGGAAGAACTTTCTGGCAGTAAGAGCTGTTTGACAGTGGAATGGACTCAGAAGGTGGTGGGCTCTCCTTCACTGGAGCTTCTTAAGCAGAGGTTGGATGGCCATCTGTCAGGGATTCTTTAGCTAGGATTCCTGAGTTGCAGGGGGCTGGATTAGATGACACTTTGGGCCCACTTCCAACTCTGCAGTTCTATGATTCTATACTGAAAGATCAAACTCTCAGAATCATGGGTGTGTACAGGTCACTAACTGGACCTGCAGATTCAACCACCACCAGAATAATGCACACACACAAACACACCAAGGGTTCAATTGACCTAAACTTTATTGGCACTGAATGAAGAGAACAGGTTGTGGACTTTAACAAAACCCCTTTGCAGGCAAGGCATCTGAGTGGCAAGGATCAACATGGCTGGCCTGCCCCACAGAGACACAGATCAACCTTACAACCCCACCTGGGAAAACTTGTGTTTTAACAAAACATGTAAAAAGGTAGACATAATTTACAGCCAAAAAAAAAAAAATCCAAAACACAAATATAAAGCCAGACACAAAAAAAATGCTTAATAGGGTAACCCCCTCTCCCCCAGGATAGGATATATCCAAAGTAATAGCAAGTAAACAAGTTGGGGGGGGGGAGTGGAGGAAGGGAAACCTCCATGAATCCCAACAAATAATTAAAAAAGTGTCTAAAAATCTCATGGTAATACTGAATGCTTCTTACATTAATTTCCTGCAAAATATCAATCTCTTTACAATACAGTATACATTTGTCCATGGAGAAGGGGGGCATTTCCCCCTCCCCCTCCACATTTCCAAGATTAATATTTTCTAATCGTGCACAGCTAGAAAAAAAGAGAATGAAATCAATACCATTAGATACCACTGGAATAATATAATACTGGTAGGATCAGGGGAGAGCTGAACCAACTACATGAGGAGTTAAGGCTTCTTGGCATAGGTTGGCTTGCTCCTTTTCTAGAAGTGAAAGGGCAGGAGGAAAAGCAACTGTGCCAGTGGAAGGTGTCAACAGAGCTCTGTGACCCAACCAGGGGCGATGCAGAGATGCTTTAACTACTTCATTAGTTCAGCACAGACCTGGGAGGCTCTGTGCTGATTTCTCTCGTGAGGATGTAGTTCTCTGAACCAAAGTGTGCCAGTAATGTGGAGGAAAACTGCCAAATTACAAGTTTGGAGCACAAAACGTTTTAAAAAGTGATTAAAAGTGATAAGGAATCACAGATTCTTCAGTTTAAGGGTAAATGAGTTGTGACAAGTTCAGCTGCAGTGTGTGTGTGTGTGTGTGTGTGTGTGTGTGTTAAAGTGTTCTAAGTAATGAGGTTGCATATTTTCAGGAGGAGGAGGAGCTGACAGTTCCTACCCTCACTTCCTAAAGGCACTATGTATATATATATATTTTTTTAAAAAAGAGAGAGAGAGAGGCGAAAAGGGGTGCATAACAAACTCACAGAAGACATTTAGACTGTGCTATTTTGCAAGCTGAGGGAGTCTTGCCTCCTTGCAGCTAGGGCTGCCAACACGAAGCTGCCCAAAGCAGGCTGACATGGCTTTGGGACAGCTATGGGAGGTTTTTCGCTGCCCTCACTGGAGTGAATCAGAGCAGGGATGGGGAGCCTGTGCCCCTCAGATGTTGCTGGATGACAACTCCCATTGTCCTTGGAGAGCCACAGGATCCCCACCCCTGAACTGCAGCTCCTGTCTTTGTTCCACTCTCTCCACACAACTTTCCTGTTTCTAGTGGCACTGTTGCTATTAAGACACTTTGGGAGGAAAGGGGCGGACGGAGAAGATCAGAAGAGATTATGCAGTTCAGGAGTTTAGAGGTGCAGACGAGCAGGACAGCTTCTCTGCAAACAAAACTCCTTTGAAAAATAAGCTTCTTAGACTGTGGGTTGGGGGTGGGGAGACAGGCAGTCCCCAGCTGTACCTGATGCGGTCATGGCACAGGTAAAAGTGAGGTAACAAACTCTCTTGAAAAAAGGGAAGCCCTGCCAAAAATCTGGTGGCCAAAGTAGCACTAGAAGGTTCTGTCTGGACTTAGGAGGCAAATAGGAGCAACCTCCTAAAAGAAAAGTCACATAAAACTTATTTAAAAATTCTGAAAAGCAAAAGGCACTCCAAGGCAAAGAAGGAAGGAGGAGGAAGAGTTTGGATTTGATATCCTGCTTTATCACTACCCTAAGGAGTCTCAAAGAGGCTAACAGTCTCCTTTCCCTTCCTCCCCCACAACAAACACTCTGTGAGGTGCGTGGGGCTGAGAGACTTCAGAGAAGTGTGTCTAGCCCAAGGTCACCCAGCAACTGCATGTGGAGGAGCAGGGAATCAAACCCAGTTCACCAGATTATGAATCCACCGCTCTTAACCACTGCACCACACTGGCTCTCCAAAGAGATTTGGAGACAAGATCTGCTGCATTCCAACAACCAAGGCAGCAGAGACCAAGGCAGGTTTTGTGACTGTGCAAGTGGCTGGTGATGTGAAGAAGACAGGGTGCTTTTTTGCATTTGGTCACAAGTAAACATGAGGACTCTATAAAAACTTTACACCCATGGAAAAGGGTGTCATAAGGCACCGATAATGTGGGCTGTGTGTTCTACAGACCTCCCTTGAAAGGGCCAGCTGCAATGTTTCCCCACATCTGTCTTGCTCTCTGGGGTTTATGGCTGATGCACATCCTCTTCTGAACACTTAAGTTGGACTGTGCTGGTCAATATGAATGGGACAAAGTATGTTGCTGCTACCAATCCCAAACATCGTCTCCTTATTGGACAGGGATGGGGAACCTGGAGCCCTCCAGATACTGTTGAAATCTGCAATCTCTGGTGGGAATCGGTGGCCAGCAAAGTTTGGAGGCCAACAACACACGTAATTGGATATGGCAACATTTCAAGAGGGGAAAACAAAATATACTCAGATCACAACAATTATGGATCCTGCCTCTTTCAACTGCTTAGGCATGTGCAAAGTGATAAAAAGATCAGGGTGATCCATTTGGTCTGCTAAACCTCTGGGAATCATAAAAAGCTTTGGTCTTTCGCGCGCGTGTGGGGTGGGTGGGTGGGTGGGTGGCACAAGAACATTAAATTCTGCTTCAGTAACTTTTCCTTCCAAACTTCTTCTTTTTTAATTATCAAAACTAGACAGGCTTAAAAAGTAAAGATACCCCAACACACAAGTCTCTTCAAACATTGGCTAGAGAGACTAGTGGCAGGGATGGGTCCTTGGGGGGGGGTCACAGGACCAGCACAGATGTTTCATAAAGCTGCATGGAACAGATTTCTCTCTTCAACCCAGGTTGAGAAAAGAAAATGGGGCATCACCATAAAAATATATATATAATTATTTTTTAAGGCACAGCTGACTAATCCTGTTTCACCCTATGTTGGATGGCAGCCTCTGCACCCAACTCTCAGACAGACTGTGGTGTCTCTTTTGTAGTGGTTCCAGCACAACGCAGTTAAACACAGAAAAAAGGTGGCGGGGGAGGGAGGAAGAGTGCAGGGGAGACAGCAGAAGGCTCACAAATGATTACATGGACTCAAACTCATCAATGCGTTGCTTGGTGTTGCCCTGCCGGATCTGGCGGAGGGTCTTGTATTTGTCACGGCCCAACCTCATGTTCTCGGCATGGATCATATCATTGGCAGTCTTCTTTGTTTCGTCGCGGGCATTGGCCAGCTCGGACGTGAGAGCCTGTAGGTGCAAAACGGGAAGGGGGGAAAGACCAGTTTTAAAATGTTATTTGCTTGTTTTATTTCATAGAATTTATACACAGCTTGATTGTAAAACCCTCAAGCAGTACACAATAAAATTATAGTAAAAGCCATAAAAAGCAACATACAAAAGATAAAATCAGCAATAAATGGAAAAAAAATAGATCAAAACATTCATATGTTTTAGTCAAATGTGTTGCACTGTTTGGTGCAAGTGGAATCCCAGTTGCCTGAGGGCAGAGAGCCCCAGAGGGGAATGCTTCTCCGTGAAGGCCATTCACAAATCCAACAGTGGAGGAATCAAGTGACATTGCCTGAGCCAATCCAAGAACATAACAAGAGTCTGCTGGATGGGGGCAATGGTCGATCTGGTCCAGAATTGTGCTCTCATTGTGGCCAACCAGATGCCTGTGGAAAATTTGCAGGGATGACCCAAGCAGAAGAACACTGAGCTTCTTTTTCCAAGATTGAATTTTTGGGACAGTAATTGTCTTCCAGCCTAACTCACCTCACGGGGTTGTTGTGAGAATAAAATGGGGGCAGGGACCATGTATGACACATTGAGCACCTTGTCGGAAATAGAAATCCAATAAAAAATACATAGCTCTCTTCTCCTCTGGCTCCCAGCAACTGGTATTCAGAAGCATCTATATGGGGTCAGTAAATCCCAACATGGAAAGATGCTGGACCAGGTGGGCTCTGCCCCGGATGTTCTTAGGCAGGTAAAGAGCCAATAATAGCACTCAGACAGTTCTGATACTCCAAACGTCTGAAACTCTCACCCACTACTCCAATGTTTACATAGAATTTTGTAAAGGCTACTGTTTCAGTCTCATACTGAAACTCCCAGGTCAATTCATTTTACTGTATTATTATTATTATTATTATTATTATTATTATTATTATTATTATTAAACTGGAAGTCACCCTCAATGTTTTATTGAAATGCAGGGTGAAAATATTTTGTTAGAAAGAAGCCAAGATAAACTGCAGATGTGTCTGTACAATGGGGACTGGATCCTTCAGCTCTGTTGTGACAGGGCCTAAAATAGCATTTTGCCAGAAGAAGGTGTAGAGGCCAGCTGGCCAAAGAGACAGATGCATTTCCACCTGGCCCTTTTATTAACTTTATTGTGAAAGCCATCTGAAAATATTTACTGCTGGGAACAAAGTGGGAACTTAAGTGCAAGCACTGGATGTTACAAGAGACACATAGCCTCCTGCCAAAAACAGAAGCCTGGGACATTTCTCTTCCTGTTTCCCACAATGTGCCAACAAATAAAAATCCATGTTATGATGAGATATTATGGTTGATCAAACTTCCTGCCCCAATCCACCGGGCTGCCAGGATGGGGGAACCAAGTGTGCTGATGAAGCATCTTTTACTACCAAGGTTTATGGGAAAGACATCATGGTATTAGCTATGCTACTCTTGTACCACCTGTAGGTGGATCAAGCCCTTAACAACCTGGGACCAGGTTACCTGGGAGATGGCATTGCCCTCTTTATGGCCACTCAACCACTTGCTTCATTCTGTGCAACTGGCACTATTACAACTGCCACATAATACCCATTCTGAATTTGTAAGAAATCAGTATTTCAGCGCGGCAGCACCTGCACTTTGGAACCCCCTGCCTATTGATGACAGCCAGGCACTTTTGCTGTACTTTTTCTGGCACCTGCTAAAATACTCAGGCATCTAGAAAGTTAGCTTGTTTTTATGTTTATTGTTGTCCTTCATGTTTTGAATGTTTCAAATAATTGTTTTTACAGCCCCCCCCCCCGCAAAAAAATATTGTTTGTCTTTTTGGTAAATGGCTTTGAGCCTCGCCCCTACAATCAAGCAATACATAACATTTATGACGTGAATCATAATAATAAATAGGTGGTGCTAGACATTTGAGGGAAGCGGGTCTCAGCCCCACACCCTGCCCACCAGCCACACTCCCCCTCAAAGTAGCGTTGGCCCCACATTACCTTCAAGTGCTTCTGGACCCGCTCGTTCTTCTCTGCCTCCGTAGTCCGCTGCTCCTCGCTCCGGTCCTTGGCGGAGGCATGTGCCCTCAGCTCTGCGCTGGCCTCAGCAGCATTTTCATCCTGCTCATCATCATGTTCGTTCTCAGACTGCATTGGTTCTGGAACATGCTGGGTGACCATGGCTGACTTCAACTCCTCTTTAGTCTTCTCTAGGTCTTCCTGGACCATCTGGGCCTGAGGGAGGATATCAACCCACCAATGGGTTAGTGGAGCTGGCGTTTGTCCACAGACAGATTTCCAGGTCATGTGACCTGCACAACTAAGCTGCTTCTGGCACAACGGAACACCATGATGGAAGCCAGAGCACACGGAAAAGCCATTTGCCTTCCAGCCACAGCGGTACCTATTTATCTACTTGCACTGGTGTGCTTTCGAACTGCTAGGTTGGCAGGAGCTGGGACAGAGCAACGGGAACTCACTCTGTTGTGCAGATTTGAACCGCTGACCTTCTGATCAGCAAGCCCAAGACACTCAGTGCTTTAGACCACAGAGCCACCCACGTGCTTATATATAAAGACTCAATTTCTCAATGAATACATTATCTTGTGGTCTGCCCTCTCCAGTTCTCATCATATACGTAAGCTTAGCATTGCACACTATGTCCAAGGTTTTAATTTAGCATTCTCTCAAGAAGGTTGTTCTCATTTTTGTCGAATTCTGACAAATCATAATTCTAGCACCACTTAAGAGATTCTGCATTAATTCGGTGTCATCCTGGTGCATCTGAGAAAGCCAGTGTGGTGTAGTGGTTAGAGTGCTGGGCTATGAACTGGGAGACCAGGGTTTGAATCCCCAGTCAGTCAAGAAACCTACTGGGTGACCTTGGGCTAGTCACTGCCCCTCAAGTCTAACCTACCTCACAGGGTTGTTGTGAGGATAAAATCAGGAGGGGAGAACCACGTACACCACCTTTTGTTCTTTGGCAGAAACAATGGTATATAAATGCAATAAATATCTAAATAAAATCAGGTCAGACCAATGGGCCAAAGGTTCCCTCATTGTTGTTCTAGAGCAAGAGTCAAAGTCATACATCACAGATTATCATGCATGTACTGGAGAGGGCCATGTCTATTTTACACAAGTTAAATGCACATTTGCTGCAACACTGACATTGTGGAGGGTGGACAACACGCCTTGTAGGCAGGATCCCCTGCCTCTCTGTGCAAATAGGATGTCTTTACTTTTCCCCATCACTGGAACAAGGGGAAATGGGATGGTCACTCCTAGGCACAGGAGAGGAAGGAAATTGCTTGTTTCAAGACAGGACCAAGACACCCCACTCACTTTCTGCTGCCACTGCACAGCCTCGCTCTCCTTCTTCTGCCGAGCCAGTTCCAGCTGCAAGATCCTATTGGTGAGCTCCATCATTTCAGACGACTGCAGGAATTAGCAGAAGATCACAAGTAAAGTAGGTGACCAGGCTCCTAAAATGCTACATTGCCCCACTACTCCCCAATCTGGCCCTTGCTCAGCTATAAGGTATAAAGTGTACCTTCCACACCCCTGCTGTGATCTTGGGATGCAGCTAAGAAAACTAATACAAAAATCAGATTTGTGAGTGTGCACGATTCTTCAAGAGAAAAACCCTGGTATACACACATACCACCCTAAGAGAATTACAGTTCCAAGGTCTCCTTTGGGAAGGGAATAACTATTAAACCAGTTTAAGCCTGCACTGGAGCCTGGTTTCCTCTAGATAAGGGGTCACCAACCTACGGCCCAGGGGCCGGATAAGGCCTGAGGGACTCGTTTATCTGGCCTGCAGCGACCCCTGCCACCGCCGGCTGTTCTTACCAGCTTGTGCGCATGCACACAGGCCTCCTCCGACCCAGATGTGCACCATTTGCACACGCTCCCCCGCCTTCCGCACAATCATTGCTGGAGACACCGGCCCGAGGCAAGGAAAACTTGGAGACCCCTGCTCTAGATCAGTGGTTCCTAGACCTCTTCAGCCCACCACCCACTTCCCCTGCTCTCCCTATAAAAAGCATTATTGAGAATAGTGGTTTGCATGACCCACTAAGAAAGATCATAACACAGCAAAATTCAAAGCAGTAATAAAATTACACATAGAATCCAGTTAAAACTATTTAGTTAAACTGATTCAACAAAACTGATGGACTTATCCAGTGGTGCCAACTTTCCAGAGTTTAATAGTAATTCACACCTCCAGTATGCTTCCCCCTTTGCCTCTAAATGCCCCCCCCCCGGGAATCCCACCAGCCTCCAGGGTTAGAGTCAACAGCTTTTGGACTAATGGCAAGTCTAGCTCAGTACAAATAGCGGCCATTTCCTGCCTTTATGAGGACCCAGCTGCTGACCACCCTGGAAAGGCTTAGCAGATCTAATTTTTATATTCTAGCATAAATAATTCCTGTTGATGTGATGAACAACAGCGCCTATTCTACATTGGAATTTAAAATGTGTCAGCATTATCAACATTGTTTATTAATTTGGACTACCACATTATGTATTGAAATGAACTGATAATGGGCAGTTGTATCAATATGCATGTTTCTCTAGTGTGTTGTGAGCCACTTTGGGGTCATTTAAATGGAACAGCAGCATACAACATGCAACTTAGGAACTCCCTGCCTACTGACACAACGGGCATTCACTGCACTCTTTTCAGTGCCTCTAAAACCATTTTTGATTGGCCAAACCTACCCAGATAGGTAAAACACGGGCATATTTTTATATGTTTTCAGTTTATCACTGATTTTAATTTTAAAAAAATGTTTTAAGTAATTGGTTTCACTGATAACTTTATCATTTTCTTTTTGCAAACCGCTTTGGGTTTGCTTTTTTTTTTTTACAGTCAATGTGGTATATAAACTTTATGAAATAAAATAACTTAGCTGCTATTGCTGGGGGTTGAACTAGATTACCCCTTTGGGTGCCTTTCCAACTCTAAAATTCTATATAATTCGATAAACACAATGACTTCCTAAGAACCCCAGAAGGGTCTGGCTGCTAGATCAGACCACTAAGCCCTCCCCATCCAGCATCCTGTTCTCGCAGTGGCCAACGCAGGCGACACTTTTGGAGAGCCAGCCTACCAGCTGCTCCTGGGTCTTCTTCTGGTCATTGGAGGCCTTCAGCAAGGCTTCTTTTGCCTCTTCAGCTTCCTGACGCTCCTTCGCCAGCTTCTCCGCTTCTTCCTGAGCTCGCTTCCTTTCTTGCTCCAACTCTAGTGCCTTGCGGGTCTGCTCTTCCAGTTCTAAAGAGAGAGAGAGAGAGAGAGAGAGAGAGAGAGAGAGAGAGATAGGTCTACAACTTGCCCACCAACTCTGTAAATCAGCACCAAGCTCCCCTTCCCACCACCTGCAAGGTGGGCACCAGAAGCTTCCCCTACCTAGCTGAGCTTTCTTTGTCTGCTCTTCAATCTGCCTGAGCCGTTCCATCAGCTCCTCCTTCTCGCGTTCAATCTTTTCCTTCTCCTTCTCTGCCAGCTCCCTCTTCTTCTTCTCATTCTCCAGCAGGGCTCTAGGCAGGGAGGAAATGTGAAGGATAACACAAAGTTCAACCCCCACCTGGCTGACAGATTTCCAGTTCTCTCTTGTGCAACAAAACTTAGTTGAGGCATTCTCGTTTTGCATCAAAAGTTTTTCAGTCATCGGCAATCAATATTTTGTTTTTAGCGTAAATTAAAAGAAAAGTAATTTTCTAAACTTTTAATGCTGATGCTGCACTCGTTTGCTCAAGCGGGCGCCTTCTGTGCCAACGTTTAAACACTTGCCAAAAACTTTTCTGTACTGCCAGGCCTATGCTGGAAATTAAGAATACATCCTTCCACAATGGTTAATTGGTGTCTTGGTTTTTAAAAAAATCTTTTTAATGGTTTTAGTTGTATAATTTTATATTTTTATTGCTGCAAACCACTTTGATATATGTGATACAGCAATATGCACATTTTTAAAAATAAACAAACGAGCCTCCATCAGAACAGGAGTGGGGCAGGATCCAGCCAGTGGGCTGGTTCCTGAGCTTTCCCCCACCCCTGCAGGTTATTTTACAAGTGGGCAGGGCCACCCAGCTGTCAATCACCCGATATCACAACACCACCACATTCTTCCTTTGCGGAGGTAGCTTGAGCTGCACCCACAGAGCAGCATCCTTTGCACCCAATGCAAACAGATATTTGGGCCTAGGAGTTAAGCACCACTGTTTGGCTGCACAATGGAATCCCCAACTTGGAACTCCAAAGCACAGCCAATCCCACCAGGGCCTGCTGTGACTGCCAATCAGCTGATGAACACAGACAGCAAGGCCTGCTTGCTAAGGAACAATCCACAGCATTTTAAGGCTTCCAAACGTTCCTTTGCAGCTTCTTCTCTACTTGCCCCACACCTATAAGGCAAACGAGTGTGGTGTGAGGAAAACAGACTTCTAAGCTGAATTGTGACCCATGCTGAGCCTATTTGACCTATCAGCTGGAGCTTTCTCCCACTGCTACATCCTTCTCCCTGCAGCTACAGGGAAATGCTGTTCACATATGTTACGGGATAGACCCATTACACAGAAAAACCATACACTTTGCATGCAGTGGGAGTCAGAGTCCAACAGAATCCAGAGAGCCACAGTTTCTCCATACCAATGTGAAACTAAGAAAAGACTGCTGGATCAGACCAAAGGGGACCCCTCTAGTCCAGCATCCTGTTCTCACAGAAGCCCCAATAGGAAACCCACAAGCAGGATCTGAGCGCTTCCACCCTCCCTTGTGGTTTCCAGGGGGTGTAGGCCTCTTCTACTATATTCCAGCTGCAGGATTTGCCTATGGAAAGAACACATGCCACACCCCAATCACTAAACTCCAATCTTGCCACAACTTTTCCTACAGAAGATGGCCATGACTAAGACACTGTGCACCAGCGTTGGGGAACCAGTTATGTCAGCATTTGGCACTCTGTTCAGAGGCGTTTGCATTCAGTTGAACGCACCTCTCCATCTGTTTTTGATGCTTCTCCTCTCGGGCTTGAGCCTTCATCTGCTGCACCTCAATTGTGTCTGGCTTACGCCGACGCATGTAGAGCTCATGGTTCCCCATGCAAAGAGCCAGAATACGCTTGTTAATCCTTAGCCGTGGGGCATAGAATACAAAGTCCTTTGAAAGAAAGATGAAAAATAAAGAATGAATCATGGATGCACCTGCGTCACTTCCCTTTCTTCTCCAGTAGTAGCTAATGCATCAAGTACATGCAAAATAGCATCCAATTAATTAGGCAATTTCCCCCATGCAAAAAGACAAAAGGAGCAAAAAAGAGCTAAATGGTTGTTCAGCAACCTTTAGCTTCAATGAGCCAGGAAGCTGGAAATCTGGATAGGAATTTAAATCTGAAAGATGGCCTTTAAATAAACCTCACTCGAATATTAGTGGAGCATGTCTACATTGTGTTTCTGTTGAAATGTTGCACACAACCAGCTTTGAGTGTTGTCTAAAAACCAAACATTAACACAATAAAATATCCCATTACTGGAAAAAGAAAAGCACAACCAATTAATATGTTATCAGATTGAAGTAGCAGAAGTAAGTGAACTTTTCACTAATCAACAGAAACCACCATCAAGCCCCCACCCCCACCCCATTCTGCACTATTGGTGCCCCAGGCAGAAAATCCCAGGCACAACCCTTGCCTCTGAAAAAGAGGGGATGCAGAGCAGGGCTTCTACCGCAGGTAGAAAGAACAGTGACTGTACACACACATAGCCTTAGAATCTGAAAGTCACCAGTAAGTACTTTAAACTGGGTTTGGGAGCAAACAGCCAGCAGCAGAATTAGAATGGGAAAGCTGAGCTGCAACTCACCTTGTCAAAGAGGCAGGCCACAAACCCGCTTCTGAGCTGTCTTCAAAAGACATGCCCCAACCCAACCCAGAGGTGTTGAACAACTCGTTTTTCTTTTTTACTAAGACAAAATCCCGAAGAGGAACAGACACCCCATCTGATAGAGAGTACATGTTCAACTCTGCAGCAGAGAGACCCCAGAACTTCAGTCCCAAAGCCTCAATATTTTGGCATTGGCTACTACAAAAAAACAAAAACAAAAAAAAAACCCCACACAAAACACACACACACACACACAAATGTGTGCTCCCAGGGCAGGAGGGAATTCAGAATGCTTTTATGTCATCTGGTAGGACTTTATTTCCTATACTTTGGACTTATATGTGCAACACTCACCAGTCACACCAGCTTAGGAAATACGGATGTCTTTGTTTTAATGGTGCCTCTCGCTATTTCTTTCTCTTATTATCTACTGTTTGCTTGCTTTGCATATGGTAGGAGATAATATCCTGCAACTGCACTTTTGAGTTCTTAGTAATGGTAATAAATAATTATTTAAAACAAACAAATTCTACCAATCAGCTACTTGTTGAAGAAAAGGGGGAGGTAGCTCTGTATGCAAACCCTGGATATGCTGAAGCTATAACCAAGGGATCCCATTAAATCAAATCAAATCAAATCATACACCCCCATAAAGAAAAAAGGCTTTGGAAGAATTCCGTGCATCCAGACAAGGCATTTAAGTGCCAGGAACCATTCATCTTTGCAGCGATATTGCTGTTACTTGCACACAGCAAGGTTCACCTCTTCCAGAGTGAGCTGTCTCACCGCAGGAAAACTGTTCTCATGAAAATGAAGGGAAGACCTTTTTTGGCACAATTGCTGACCCAGAAAAACAAAGCAGATGTCCACTTCTGCTACCAGAAAGACAAGAGCAATCCAGAGATCTCAATGGTGTTGAATTGAACAGAGTTTGAGGGTTCGCTGCTCACTCAGCCCAGCAGATGAAAACAAATGTACAACTTCTCTCTAGCTTTTGTTTCAAACACCCGATGAATTTACCTCATCTTTGGAAGAAGAAGACACTTGACTAACCACAATGGGCTTTTATGTTCTATCACTAAACTACCAAGTGGAAAACTCTTCACATAAATGACTGTTTGAAAAGCTCTTCGTTCCTTAGAGTGCCCTTCGTTCCTTAGAGTGCCCATCAAACCAGCTGTATACCCAGTTGTGTGAGGTTTATTGCAGCCCTCTGCAATCTGCTGAGCTCCACACATTTTAGACTGCAACTACTACCAGTCCCAGCCAGTTTGAGCACAGTAAAACAAACAAACAAACAAACAAACAAACAAACAAACAAACTGGGAGTCACTTGTTTATGAAAATCTAAATGTTCATTCTGTCACCAGGGGATTTCCCATCACAACCAACTGGCTTTTTTGGTTATGTAGATAGAGCAAAATAGAACAACCCCAAATTACTGATTTTCAATTAAATATTTGAATAGATTATTAACTAAAATATTTTAAACTACAAATTAAATCTTACTGGGGCTTTCTTGTCAATGGGCTTGATAACAAACTTCTTATCATTGAATGAAATGTTTCTAATCTCACTCCAAGGGAATCCGATTTTTGGTGTTAACCTGAAAAAGATGAAAGAAAGGATTTAATGTTTCAAAAGCTGAGCCCATTGGAATACTTTGGCAGTTAAACAACCTGACTACACTGATGTGGCACAAATGCTTTTCCATCACTGAGACAAAAGAGGTAATGTTGTTCAGAATTTACAAAACCAGATACACTGAATTTATGTAAGATTTGCACAGAATGCAATGTAAGTGGCTTGGACAGTGGCTTGTCCAAATTGCCCAAAGCAACATACTAAATCTTAGGCCTCAAAAGGATACAGGATTTGGAGCCTGGAGAAAATATACACAATCTTAAATGCAACTCAGGCTATTAGGTGAGTGCAGACCCATTCCATGTGATTTCCATCTTATATGAAGACACTTACTGAGGAACTGGTGCCTATACAGTGGTACCTCGGGTTACATACGCTTCAGGTTACATACACTTCAGGTTACAGACTCCGCTAACCCAGAAATATTACTTCAAGTTAAGAACTTTGCTTCAGGATGAGAACAGAAATCACACGCTGGTGGCACAGCGGCAGCAGGAAGCCCTATTAGCTAAAGTGGTGCTTCAGGTTAAGAACAGTTTCAGGTTAAAGAACAGACCTCCAGAACGAATTAAGTTCTCAACCTGAGGTACCACTGTACACACAATATTATTAATCCAATGACTGAATGCTTTGGTAGATGTGCTACTGGCCTTTTTACACAGTGCATTTTGCGTTACATTGCAGAAAGGGGACACCCAAAAGAAGCTTGCACCAGTTTGGTCCACAAGGTTTGGAGGTCCCTGCAGTTACCTGCTTTGTTAATACTTTGTTAATTAAAATCAGTGCCTAGAGGAAATATATAGGGCACATGCACAGGGCACCACAGGAAGACTCAAGCATGTAAACTACTACAGAAAATAAACTCCCACTTCTTTCTGGGATCACTTGCCCTATGTAACCTGATAAAAATACTTCCTTAAATTCAAAGGATCAATTGAATTGGGAGTATGAAAGCAAGACATAATCATGGAGCATCTCTCAGGCTCAAGAAAGTCCAGATGTTGCTGGACTACAACTCTCATCACCAACTCTGTTGTCGCAGATGAGCCCCATCAGGCCTCCTCTCCCCTCAATGGCGCAGCCATTCCCTCAGGCTGCTTCAGTGGGAGATAAGCCCAGTTCCAACAAGCACCTCCGCCTACCACTGAACTATGTAGGCTGGTCATTATAGGAACAATTGCTTGAGAACTGGTATGGGAGATTTCCACCCTGCTCCCTTTCCTCCCTATCCCCTTTCCTTGTGTGCCATTTAAAAGAAAGAAAGAAAAAGATTGTAAGTCTGTGGGAGATGACTGCCTTGTTTTAATCAGTGGCATGTAAGCCATTCTCAGAGCCATTTTGGCTGAAGAGTAGGGTACAAATGCTCTAAATAAACACAATAAATAAATAAATCATCTCTGGCCCCATGTCACGCTATCTAGAATGGATGGTGCTTGGGATTCAAGCCTTCCCATACCCAATCTCAGGTTCCAATCCCAAATAAAATTTCTGGGAAATAAACACCCACCCATCAAATTGGGATATAAATATTACACCACATTATCTCTCCCACTAAATAAAGACTCTCCCTAGGAGACTAAGGCTTTGCATTTAGTCCCCTATGATGGATCCAGCAAAAGCTTTTAGCTGTCATAGATAAAGAGGATATGAACTGCACAAGGTGGGGACTGACATGAAAGAACTGCTGCTGTGATGGTTTTCTGTGAGCCTCCTGAAAACATCTAGGTAGCCAGCTGGCAAATGCTAGAAGAAGGTTGCTGGACTTAGATGCACTGATGCCTGATGCAACAGATGGTCCTCTTCCCTCCCAGTCCCCATGCAAGTTTGAAGGACAGTCTTGTTACCTGTCATTGTGCTCATAAATGTTGAGTCCAAGGGCATCGACTCCCAACCAAAGTTCTGAGCCCTTCTTGTTCTTAATACTGAAGTAGTTCACACCATACATCTCCAGATCTTGTGCAATTTTCAGATATTCCAAGATGGCATCTTCTCTAAAAGTACACAAGAGAATGGATTTTTAATACAATCTTCGCAAAGCTCAGCAGAGTTTAAAAGTAGTTCAAAACACAACACTTCTGACCTCCTGTAAATACAATGATGGGTTTTTCCAACCAAGCCTCCAAGCATATTTTTAAACTACGAAGAGGTAGCAAGTTGTCTATATCGACAGCATCCCTTCCAGAGGTTGTCACGCCCCACGCAGTCCCACTCAACACAGTCTCAAGGGTTACAAGTGATGGATTTTGTAATCATCATCAGGAGGCGAAAGGAGAGCTATAGGTTAGCAATTCTTTGTCAAATCATTACTGCATTAATACTATTGCAATGCCCAAAGATCTACCAAAGCTATTATAAGGTTTTTCTATGGAAAAGGGGGCCAATATATTCCGGCAGCCTCCCAGGTCTTTGCTGCAAAAATATTAACACAACTGACATATGGCTCTCAGATCTGCAGCTTCTTAAACCTTGCTCCCTTAGAATCATTCCAAACTAAGTTCTATCACTGCCTGTTAGGGATCCCTTCTTGTGTGTCTAAACATAGCTGTCCGCCTGGAGGTCTGGCAAATCCCTGTTAGTGCTCGGATATGGATTCTGAAGATCCATTATTGGTTAAAACTTATCTTTTTCCCTGTTGGGTTGGCACCCTTAACCCTACTAGATTCCTACCAATCCAAATGGAAAGCTACACTGTATGAAAAGCTAAGAGGCTTGGGGTTTTCCCCGCACACCCTGATAGTTGTAGGTTATGAGAAAGCTAGAGCAATAATCCGCCAACGAATTTGGGAAGTGGAACTGCAATGCCACATGAGCAGGATGAATAAACACCCAGCAATAAAAGATAATGGGAGAGGATTTACCCCAGCCAATTATTTGTCAAAATTACAAATACCTAAATACAGACAGCCATTTACCCTTGCTAGATTCAACGTGCTGCCATCTGCCTTATTGCAGGGCAGATTCGAGGGTAAACCATACGCGGAATGAGTCTGCCCCTGCGGCTTGATGGAGGTAGAAACTGTCTCTCATGCCTTGTTACACTGCAGTTTCTACAGGGATATACACTCGGTATTTATTACCCCTGCTATGCAAAAATCTTCAAATGAATCCGAACTTCAATGTCTAAAATCACTGGTAGATGACAAGGATCCTGAGATCACATTGTTGTTGTTTAGTTGTTTAGTCATGTCCAACTCTTTGTGACCCCATGGACCAGAGCACTCCTGTCTTTGAGATCACGTTAAGGGTAGACAAATTCTGTGTGATTGCCATAAAACTTAGGGAACAAGCTGTGCTATCATAATGATTAAGGCCTTAAATGATAACTTTAGGTTGTATGTCAGTGACTAAGTTTTAATTTTATTTTTTTTAACTGTTGCTATATCTGTATTGTCCCTGTTATATCAGTATTGTCCCTGTTAATATCCCTGCATTGTCCCTAATTGCAAATTCAAATGTATCCCTATTGTGTTTTATGACTTCCTTGATATTGTATGTGGGCTGGAACTGGTCTGTGACTGAAATAATAAAATTCATTCATTACTGCATTGACTTCTGTGACGCACTTTGAATATTTAAAGATGAAGCTATATTATGAACAAAAGATGCTCTTATACAACACAAACCAATTATTTCTATAATTTCAGCCTTACCTGAGCATTCCTCGATGTTCTTCATGCCACACTTGGATCCTTTCCTCCCATTGATCCTTGTTAAGTTTGTGCTGCTCCAAAACCCTAGGAAGCAAAGAACAGCAAAGCACATCAGGAGATAAGCAGCTTCCATACATGTAAAACTGTGGCAAAGGAAGCTTGTGGGGAATTTATTTTTCAAACTTCCTCTATCTGTACAGAGGAAAATGTAGTCCCCTAAGCTCAATCAGTGGTCTGAGAGTTGTTCTCTGGTGCTTCTACCTAATACAAAGATGGGGAGCCGGATGCAGGCAGTCAGCCAGATCCTTATTTCCCTTAGGAGATAAGGGCCAAATTGCACATGTTGGTGGGGGCCTGGTCATCTGTCAATCATCTGAGAGCCCCACATTTGGAATATTGTGTACATGTACACTTTTGGTCTCCTCATCTCAAAAAGGATAATGCAGAGTAGGAAAGGGCTCAGAATAGGGCAACTAAAATGATCAAGGGGATGGAGTGACTCCCCTTTGAAGAAATGTTGCAATGTCTGAGACAGTTCAGAGAAAAGGCAAGTAAGAGGCGACATGACACATGTTTATAAAAGTATGCATGACATGGAGAAAGTGGAGAGAGGAAACTCACAGACATCCAAAGAAGATGAATGTTGGAAGATGCAGTACAGGTAAAAGAAAGGGCTTCTCTTCAAGCAGTACAGATAAACTATGGAACACACTCCCACAGGAGGCAGTAATGGCCACCAATCTAGATGGCTTTAAAAGAGGACTGGGCAAATTAATGGATAGAAATAAGGTTATTGAGGGCTACTAGCCATGATAGCTATGCTCTGCCTTCACAGTTGGAGGCAGTGATGCTTCTGAATCCCGGCTGCTGGAAACCACAGGAGAGGAGAGTGTGGCTATTGTGCTTGAATGTGGCAACCCCACAGTGCTGTTATTCCATGGGAGTCCGAAGTCAGTGCTGACAGGCAGTTTTGTGAGCAAGCAAGGCAAGTCCTTCTCTTGAACCTCCCATGCCTGCTCAATGATTGGATGGAGAGGGAGTGCTTGTTCAACCTTGGAGGAAGCTTTGGAGTCTGAATGAGAAGGTGCTAAGCTATCTTTTTCTGCTGCTTCTATATTTCCCAATCTCTCTTGTTTTTTGCCAGCAAGGCTTGGGAAGAGAATTCTACCCAAGCAGGAAATACAAGACCCCTGATTTTCCTTAGCTCTGCCACACTGCAGCACAAATTAGAGAAACACAGTCTCTAGGGCAGAGAGGTGAGAGTGGGGAACTCTTAGCAATGACTGAGAAAGGCCCAGCTAGTACACTAATGTTTGCCTCCATTGTAGGAGGTGGTGTGCCTCTGAATATGTTGTTAAGGAACATGAGCAGAAGATGTTGCTGTTGTGTCTTGCTTGTGTGCTTCCTAGCAACATCTGGTGACTGTGGTAAACAGTACACTGGCTGAAATGGGCCTTTGGACTGATCCAGCAGGACTCTTCTTATGCCCCCCTGGATTTAAGAACAAAGACCCACCTATAGTTCAGTGGCCAACCAGATGCCCCCAAGGGAAAGCAGGACCTAAGCACAAGTACCACACCCTCCCCTCCTGTAGTTTCTAGCACCTGGTATTCAGAAGCATTGCTGCCTAGAACTGGAGGAAGAGCATAAAAAATGTGGCTAACAGCCATCTGTAGCCCTCTCCTTCATTTAAATGAGCATTTTCTGTTTCCACACAAATAGAAATGTGACTACAGAAGGCAATTATGTGTAACAACATGAATGAGGCATAGACCGGAGATAGACAGATAGGTCTATCCCCAGCTGGAGCAACTTACGAACATCTTGTGGGGAGCAGACAGGACTGAGTCACTCTTAGGCTAGCAGCTGATTGTCTTTACACTGAGATCACCAGTCACTTATGGAAGTTAACACACTGCACCTTTTTTTACTGCCATTTAGATCCACTGGAAGAATATGAATGGTGAAAGTCACAAGGAAGTAGTACACTTCCCATAAGGCTAGAAGCATGTGTCAAATCTGACCTACCTTAGAGGAAGCAGTTTGTCACCAGTAAGGTAACCAGGGTTGTGCACCTCCTTGTTGAAGTCACCATATTTGGACTGGACAGCATAGGAAGCCAGCAGGACGGCAGTTTCTGGGGGACAGTAGATGTCATCATTCAGGATGCCCTCCTTCACTTGGAGGAAGAACAGGCGCTGGGTTATGTCCTGGATCAGCTCTTCTGCCACATCCTCTGGGTAGAATTTGGCACGGAATTTGAAAAGCAGCGGGCTCTCTTTGCGGACATCCTGCGCTGTTACCTGCAGCAAATTGGTAACAAGGTCTAGATCAGTGGTTCCCAAACCTTTTCAGGCCACATTCATACATACGGGCCATAGACTCAAGCCCAGTGCCCACCCCATAAAAAGTGTTATTCAGAATAGTGGTTTAAATAAGACAGTAGCACGTTTCAAAACAGTAATGATTCACTGCACATTAATCAGAATCGATCAAAACTGTTTAGTTTAATTAATTCAACAAAATTGATTAACTTGATCCGGCAACACTAATTTTCAGAGTCTGGTAGTAATTTAGCAATAGTCTTAGACACCAGATTTAGTAACTACTTAACTGTTCAGCAAATTCTTAATGCATTGGGTGATAACAGTTTCCCAAATGTCTGAATTAAAGTTACTTAGCAGGAGTCTTAGATCATCAACTCCAGTGCCCCCTAGATAATCCCACCTCCCCCTGGGGGCCGATACTGTTCCCTATGAGAACATTTGTAGAATGACACTTTCATCCAACTATTGTACATTCAATGAACGACCACTTTGTGATGGCTCTGTACAGCTGTTGTTATTGTAGATATTACTTTTTCTTTTCTCCTTTTTTATATCTAATTCACTTGTAACTGAAAATCATCAAAAACATGTTTTTTACAAATAGAACATACCCAGACCTTTTCTTCCTAATAAAGTCAGGGTTCAAGAGTATTTATCCTGAGACTGCAACTCCGGTTAAGTTAAGGCAGCAATTTCTTGGTGCAACCTGGTTTGTTTTTTTTTAAAAAATTTTTTGCTGGGGTTTCTCCTACTGCTCTGGAGAAACACTAAAAAAAGAAAAATAAAGAAACTGCTGCTTCTCAAAAAAGTGGGACCCTGTCTTTTTGTGGGTGAGGCAGCAAGCAAACAGGTATGTCTATAATTATATTTATTTATATCTTCCCTTTCTTCTGACTGGGATTCAAGGCAGCTAACACGAATTAAAATGACTCAGATAAAATACAGAAAGCTTAGCTACATAGATGATAGATAGATAGATAATGACAGTTTAAAAAGTCATTAAGCTCTAATATAATTAAAACAATATAAAAAAAGAAATCTATTAAAATGCAGACAATAAAACAAAGGATGACATATGCCCACATCAGTAATTACCTTTTTGTTGAGTTTCAGCCATGTAGAGAAGCCCTTGGTATCCTGGTACTGGAGTCCAAAAAACCAAACCTCTCTCAGACCTATTGTTTTCACAACCTGTTTGGGAAAACCAAAGAGAAAGGTACTTTTTAAGCAAAAGTTACAGGTGGTTGTATTTGAGCTCAAATGTGGCCTAGGAAAGGTGTTACATATCTCCAGGAACACCCAGTGGCATAAAAACAGGGGAAAGTTCAACAAAGGAAAGAAAGAAACTGCTTACCAGTGAAACCCCACATTAAGATCCAGTGGTGAAGATTTTAAAAGCAAAAACAAACATTTTAACTTTTGCTTCCCCCCACGCTCCAGAAACACTATTGCCCATTCTCCCCCTCCCGTTCCATAAGCTCATCCCTGGTGCCCCCTACCCTGTAATAAACATTATTCAGAATAGCGGCTTGCACGAACCATTAACAACATGATAAATCAAAATAGTAACAATGAATTGCACATTTATTTAAAATCCAATTTAAACTGTTTAGTTTAAGTGATTCAGCAAAACTTATGAACTTGATCCAGTGATGCCAGCTCTTCAAAGTCTGACAGACAAATATCGGGGGGGGGGGGGGCAGGGAAAAGACAAGAAAGCCTTATAAAATGTTGCTGTCTTAAAGCACAAAACTCTAATTGCATTAAGAAAGGCACACATAATCATTCAAGTTATGGTGTGTTTATAGATGCTAAGAGCCTGTTTTCTTCTTAGGGGTAAGGCACATTAGCTCTAACAGCATTGAGGCCAAGAATTCATAGGCCTCCAAGAAAACCAAGAAAAATGTAACTCTCTCATCAGCTTGAATGTCTAGTGCCTGTTTTTCAACTGATGATGTTAAGAGGCCCTAAAATCCTCTTGTAAGAAGCAAATCTCGGGGGGGGGGGGGAGAGGACACCTTCTGTTATATTTTACACTATCCAATATGGTCTAGTTTTTTTTAGCTGTTCTTATACCAAGACTTTTACTTACTAATTACATTTCTAGCCCTACTTATTTCCTCCAAGGAGCTCAAGGTGGTGTACGTGGTTGTCTTTCTCCCCATTTTATCCTCACAAACAACCCTGTGAGGTAGCCCCGCTGCCCCATGTTTGGGGGCGGGCGGGTATCACACACTGGCTCAGAGCAACAAAATAAGCCTCCCTAACTGCACCCCCTCTCAACAGCCCACACAGATTACACAGCCTTTTCCCCAAGGCAAATGGATGACTCTGGGCCTACCTCACAGCTTAGTTGTGGGGAGTAAGGGGTGGGGGGAGAACCATCTATTCCACCTTGAGCTTCTTGAAGGAAGAGGTGGGACAGAATCAAAATAGGGAATTCAGCCCTCTCATACGTTTGAGGGATTGGCAGGCCTGATTTATAGGAGTGTGGGAGAGGAGCAGGCAGAACTTGTATGGACCTGTCAAACTAGTTCCTCAAAACCACCTTTCACATGGATAGTGATCACTACAATGGTGTAGTGAATTCTGAAGTGTAACTGTTCTTCATGACAACCCCCACAGAATTTAAAGGGACCCCATAGTCCAACCCCCTTGCAGTGCAGGAATCACAACTAAAGAGATATGCATTTTTTACCAACGTATGCATTATAGCTGCAGAACCAAGGCAGTTTTCTTTTCTCACACCCTTGATTAGCATCCCACCTGATGGAAGAGTTCTGGTGGACTCAAAAGCTTGCTGGTTTATTTTGGGTCACATTTTGGCTAAAGAGACACTGGAATCTTTCCCTCAGCTGTGCAGGCTCATATAACTGGACACTTCCTTCTGCTTAAGATAATTTTGTGGGTTCCTCTCTGATAAAAAGCTTGCTTATTTAAGCCACTGTGGTGCAGTCATTAAGACTGCTGGTATGACCTGTGGATGATTAGGGTTCAAATTCCCACTTAGCCATGAAGTGACCCGTGGTCACAAGTCACTGCCTCTCAGCCTAACCTACCTCACAGGGTTGTTGTAGGGATAAAATGAGGACTAGGACCTGGGAGGAACCAGGGTTCAAATCCCCACTTGGTCATGAAGCTTCCTGGTTGTGACCTTGAGCCAGTTGCTGCCTCTCTCAGTCTAGTCTACCTCTCAAGGTTGCTGTGAAGATAAAATAGGAAGGAGGAGAAGTATGCAGGCCACCTTTAGCTCTCTGGAGGAAAGGCGGGATATGAATATGTTACAATTAAAGACTGGCAAACAGCACTGCAGGATATGACAGTCATCTTCCCTGCTGTGAAATAAGGGGTAGCATCAAAAGTGGCGGGCCTCAAAAGTGGGCTCCCCCCTCCCCGGCAAGCTCTGAGAGTGAGGGGGTCGGAGCTGCAACGCAACGGATAGAACGTTTCCTTTGATGATACAAAGCTGCGAGACTGTGAGGTATTAGCGGTAAATTCTTCCAACGCTAAAATCACTTAAGGACTGTACCGTAAGTACTTTTTACATTTGGAACAATTAGGAGATGGGTAAGGGAATTTAAAAAGAAAGCCAGTCCCTACCCGCTGACAGATTGGTATGAACACAGTTTTCAGCTGCAAACCAGGTTCTTGCAGTTCACCCTGTCCTATGCTAGTAGGGCAGCTCATCAACATTTATTTGCTTATATAGTGCACGTCCATTTGTGTTACCTTAGTAAAAAAAACACCCAACATATAAATGTAATAATATGTAATTAAGTAATAATAATATTCTTCCTCCCCAGATGTGGGCACCCAGACACCATCCTTCTCACAATATGAATTTGTCAGCAAAGGGGTCTTCACAGGGGCAAACCATTATAAGGGAAAAGGGACGGCCCAAAGCAACACACAGTAGTAGCAGCAAAGATCAGGTAGCCGTTGCAACTCTCATAGGCTATGCTTGAGTTTATTTAGTTATTATTATCTATTGCATTTATATCCCACCTTTCGTCCAAGGAGCACAAGGGGGTGCACACACACTTCTCCCCCTCCATTTTATTCTCACAAAAACCCTGTGAGGTGAGTTAATCTGAGAGCAAATGACTGGCCCAAGGTTACCCAGTGAGCTTCATGGCGAAGTGGGGATTCGAACCCTGGTCTCCCATGTCCTAGCCAAGCATTCTTAGCCATTACACTGTACAGGCTCCCCTCTCTCTTCTGAGGTGCATCACCCACGCAGCGCCCTCACCACTCCCCTTGCTGTGGCAGTGCAAGGCAGGCTTCAAAAACATTTATTTGGGTGATGTGAAGTGGCGTCCGTTTGCTAGTTCTGTTTTGGAACACCCAGCTATGATTACACAGAAGCTTCGTAGTGAACCACTGCTGTGGTGAGGGCACAGCATTATATTTTATATAGTTTTAAAATTGCTTTTTAAGTGTTGCGAGTCGCTGTGGGAAGATTTTATTTTGAACAACAGCTAAGAAATAATTAAAATAAATTATGGCTGGAGAAAAGCTAAGGGGTGTCGTCTTGGCAAGCCGGCCCATTTTTTCCAGGATCACCTGGCAAAGTGAAAATGGAAAATCTAGCATCACTTCTCATAACTTCTAATATCACTGGTTATTGCCTTGAGTAGCCCAGAATGTTCTACATACCACAATTTTAAAGAGGACCAGGGGTGACCTGCATTTCTTAAACTACCCTTATACTGCCAAGTATGACCTTCAGAACCTAATGGTAGGGCAGATTTCAAAAAGAGTATTTCCAGAAGAACGACGGTTTCCACACCAAAAGGCATTTTACACAGACACAGTTTTAGTTATAGATTAATTGGTCTTGGAGCTGGTGATACAATCACTCAGACACACCCACACAGTTAATAAAGAACATAGGATATGCTCCCTTTCAGCAAAACAAAACAAAACAAAAAAACAACCAACCATAGTTCTTGGCAGCACATGTTCAAGGCACATGGGGCTACCACTTTGCTAAAGCTAAGCAGGTTTTGGGTCTGGTCAGTGCCTGGATGGGAGACCATCTTCATGTGTGCCACTCTGGATTCCATGACAGATAAAAGAAAGTGGGGTAATAAAAATGAATGAATGAATGAATGAATGTGCATTTGTGTGAGCTATTTGCTACAGCATTGCTTTCACATACCGGTACTCCCCATTTTAGCACAAGACACATCAATATAAAAAACCCTCCCATCTCACCATATCAGTGTGTTCCCTTAATTTTTGCTAGGCCTGAGTGAAAGGACCATAGGGAGGGACCATCTTGAGAAATCAGGAATTCTGTGATACCAAGTTGGCAGGGTCAAAGCTATCTTCTCACTTGAGAGGGATAGTTAACCCCCCCCCTGCAAAAAACAAAAACAACCCTCAAGAGAACAAACAGCAATCACTCTAAACAAAACATTGCACCTAGCTGCCCAAGATGAAAGCAAACCACTCTCCTAAAAAGAAAAGAAAATCCCTCAAAACCTAGCTTGGACTTTCCCCCTCCAGGTCATTTTACATCCCTGACCATTGCCTTCAGTAAAATTCAAATGCCATGTAATTGTTTCATTCATAGTGAAGAATGGAATTCCAAAGCAGAGACTGACTGGAACTTGGCCTATCTCTGAGGTGCTAATTAAGTAAGCCAAGTCTCAAAATAGACATTAGTCATACAATATCCAAAAGTTGGGCTCCTGCCTCAGTTGGGGAATTTCCATTATCTTCAGGTTCACACACATGCAATAACAAAAACCGCTCCATTTTTATCTAACCCTTCCTCTAAAAGGGTAACACATAGGGTTGCTTCAGTTTGTCCTCATAGTCCTGTCAAGTAAGGTTGTAGCAGTGGTAACCATCATGGTGTTTGAGAGACAGCATTTTCTTTTGCACTGCCCCGGTATCAGACAATTTGATCTAAATTTACTAATCCGTTGGTTGTTAGTAATGAGTGGCATTCAGACGCTCTTATTCAGAATGGTGCTTTGCACCACCCACTAAGGAAAATAACAACACAATAAAATCAAAATCAAGTAACAATAAATTGCACATTCATTCACAATCCAGTTGAAAGTATTGAGTTTATTTAATTCAACAAAACTGATTAGCCTTATCCTACCGCTCCTTTACCACCCACTTTGGGAACCACTGATCTAGAGCCTACTACTTATAGCTGAACATGCCAAACTATGGCTTTTTAATCTCCTGTGTAGATTGGCCCTTGGAACCAACAGAACAGTTTAAATGATTGCAGCTGCCACAGGGTGAGGAACAGCACAATTTCTGCAATTTGAGCTTTACTGTACTTTATTGAACCAGTCACAGTACTAATGATAAGGCACATTTTCTCAAGAGCACAGGAAGGCAATCAGGAATCAAGTTGGTGTGGTGGCGGAAATGGAATTATTTCCATGACGTACTTACTAGGAATAATGCATAACTGGACTAGGGTATTACTCTTGGACCAAAGTAGAATTCAGAACCATCATAGGGCACCTGGTGCCACCTGCCAGCCCTGCCCTGTTGAACAAAGTTCCACTGGTGGCAACAGCAGCACTGCCGGCAAAGACCAGGTAAGGCGGCAGGTGGGGGGTGGCGCTCTGCAAGTATGCTGCATCAGCTTAGGCTCAATGACAGCTGCAGTCCTTGTTTCAGATTTAACCTGCTTGGCACTATGAGGCTGCTGCCCCAGGTAGAGACTCGATCCTCTTGCAGGCTTCCTTAGAAGATCATCTGGTGGGGCTGAAGAGGACTTCACCCTAAGCAAGTGTCCCAACTAAATCTGGATATCTTTAGTCCGATATTATTTAGCTATGATTCCTGCATTGTAAGGGATTGGGCTAGATGAGCTGTGGTGTCCCTCCCAACGCTATAATTCTATGACCTTCCTCTCTCAATCCATACTTGGGACCTTTAATGAAACTCCTCACAAGTCTGCAGTGCATCATTCTGTGGTTCGTTCTACATTTCTGACTTGTGGGGGAGGTCATTCGAAACAGACACAGAAGGAAAAAAGGCTTCTTCTGGCATTCGGGATGAAAGAAAATGCCCACCACTGCATCAGCATTATGGTTGGAGGGTGACTGTTAAGTGAGGTGGGAGGAAAATGGCCTGATCCAAAGGGCTAAAATGGCACGCTGTTCTCAAGGCAGTCTTTCCATCTGGATGGGGCAGCCACATGCACACCTACAAGCCCTTTGTTTCGGTTTCCCTGCTGAAAGGCTAACAGCGGTTCAGGAGGCTGTGTTGCTTCAGGAGAGCCATAAGAGCCCCCACCCCAGCACAATAGGGAAGTTTATTCCATATAGCCATACAAATTCAGCATTTCTAGAAGCCAGAAGCAGCCTCACATTAGAGGAGGAAAGGTGACTGAGGCCATCTCCAGCAGGAAGATTGTGGGTGCCAATAAGAGAAGCAGAAGGAGAGAGATCAACAGAGTTGGGCCATGGAGAGGTAAGAAGAAGAAGAAGAATTTTATTATTTGTACCCCACCCATCTGACCGAGTTGCCCCAGCCCCTCTGGGCGGCTTCCAGCATATACAGAAATGTAATAAAACATTAAAAACTTCACTATATCAAGGCTGCCTTCAGATGTCTTCTAAAGGTGTATCTCCTTGACATCTGATGGGAGAGCAGTCCACAGGGCAGCTGCGACTACTGAGACGGCCCTCTGCCTGGTTCCCTGTAACCTCACTTCTCGCAGTCGGGGAACCACCAGAAAACTATTGGAGCTAGACCTCAGTGTCTGGGCTGAATGACGGGGGTAGAAGCGCTTCTTCAAGTATAGAGGGCTGGGGCCATTTAGGGCTTTAAATGTTGGCATCTTGCATAAGCACCATTGAAATCCCATTAATTATAATTAGGATCTTCATAGCACAAGGAAATGACCCCCAAGCTAGTCGCCAGTGGAAGCAATTTATTTGGAATTACTACCTCATACATCAGGAACTCTGGAAACTGCCTTGTATGAAGACGAACCATGAGAACCTAAGAGCCTGCTGGATCAGGCCAATGGCCTATTTATCTCACCATGCAGTTACAAAGCATATATTTTTAGAGCAGAAACATCCACACTTTGGAACTCCCTGCCTGTTGACATCAGGCGTTTCTTCATCATATTCTTTTTGGCACCTGCTGAAAACATTTCTGTTCAGGCATGCCTATCCAGACACGTAGAATGTTGACATGTACTTTTAACCTGGTTTTAGCTTATCATAGATTTCGATTATGCTCTGAAGGTTTGAATTTTATTTTTAGCTTTTTTTAACTGTTGTTTTATTCTTTTGGTAAACCACACTGAGTTTTGAGGGGTTTTTTGGTCAAGTAGTATATAAGTTTCATGAAATAAAGAAGAATGAACTCAGTGTACTCACTTACCTAACTACACTGCTTTGTTTTGTTTTTTAAAGTTATGTCACCATGAATTAACCTGAGCTTGGAAGGGATGAGAAGGAGTTGTAACAGGCACAGTCTGGGACAGAACATCTCTATAAAATTGCCTAGTCTTAGCAAAGATGAAGAAATAACTTGTAACGTGAGTGTGTGTGTGCGCGCGCGCATGCTTGCCTATATCAACACACACAGGTACAGGCCTGTCCTTTATATCCACCCTAGGGCTACCATCTTGAATTTGAGGCAATCTGCAGTCATGCAACGTTGCAAAACTCAAGAGGAAACATAAGCTGTTTCAAAGCAAGGGAAACCTTGTGTCATAATTTCAGTTTCCATCTGCTGCTGTTTCTCAGGAACGTATTCCCGCAGATGTTCAGAAAACTGCTCAGCTTGTGCTAGAAAAACTTTTAGGAAATTACAAACACTGGAATTGTTAGTCTGCTCCTCTCATACCTCCAAAGGATAGGTAAAACCTTAAGGTGAAACCTACCACTATCTGAGGGGCAAAGCTGGCTAATTAACATCTAATCTCCACAATTTTACACTACAAACCAGATACAACCAACATTCGTCCACTTCACAGAAGCTCCTGTAAGAGCCACAGAAGAAAATATTTCAGGATAAAATTATGGAAGGGGCTGGAAGCTGGAAAGGTCCAGGAGACGACGTCATTCAGAAGAAGCATTTAGTCACCAGTTTCCTCTGAGTTCTGGAGACTGGCCAGAGGGAGTCTCCTCGCTGCCTATGTATTTGCAGCATGGAGAAGGGATGCTCAGGCCACAAATGGGTTGGGTTCAAAAAATAAATAAAGGAGAAGAAAAGCCTTGAGGTCCAAACCAACTGACAGAGCACTTGGAAGTGCACACACAATTTTGGCTGAAGAGCTGCTCCTTCCTGCCAGGCAGACGGGGAGAGAAAGGCCCACTGCAAGCTAAACAGCAGTGCAGTTTCACGGGACACATCTCAAGCTCAGGACTTCCCCTCAAAGCTGCTGCCTCATTTCCTGCCCAGAGGGTGGGGCCGGGACAGCTATGGCGGGGGCTCCTGCACAGCTTCCCTCCTCCTTTATCCCTAAGAAGCGGGATAAAGATAAGGCTGCTGCAACAGCAGTGCATAGTTAAACTATGGAACTCACTCCCACAGGAAGCAGGGACGACCACCAACCTAGATAGCTTTAAAAGAGGATTAGACAAATTCATGGAGGAGAGGGCTCTCAATGGCTGTGCTCTGCCCACAATCGGAGGCCTACCTTTTCTCTATAAAGATAGCCATTTAAAACACATGATTCTGGTCCCTGCACTGGGAAAATATTGCAGCCCTTCAGGAACTCGTCCTGGAGTTATGTTTGAGGAGAGAAGGCATATACAGTGGTACCTCAGTTTACGAACTTAATCTATTCCGGAAGTCTGTTCTTAAACGGAATCCATTCTTAATCCGAGGCGTGCTTTCCCTAATGAGGCCTCCTGCCGCTGGTGCCCTTCCACTGTTCTGATTCCGTTCTTAGACCAAGGTAAAGTTCAATAACCAGAACACTACTTCTGGTTTTGCGGAGTTCGTAAACCAAATCGTTCATAAACAGGACTGTTCTTAAACCCGAGGTACCACTGTAACCAGCTGCAATTTGAAAGCCATGTGAAAAACATTGCCTTAAATTCTCTTCATTAGAATAACATGGCCTATTTTATTTTTAATGCAATTCTAGGGTTTCATTCACATACACACACAGTGCACATAGATGTATAAACTGAGTACAGTGGTACCTTGGGTTACAGATGCTTCAGGTTACAAACGCTTCAGGTTACAGACTCCGTGAACCCAGAAATAGTACCTTGGGTTAAGAACTTTGCTTCAGGATGAGAACAGAAATTGTGTGGCAGCGGCATGGCAGCAGTGGGAGGCCCCATTGGCTAAAGTGGTAACTCAGGTTAAGAACAGTTTCAGGTTAAGAACGGACCTCCAGAACGAATTAAGTTAATATGTTCTGGACCTCCGTTCTTAACCCGAAACCATTCTTAATCTGAGACGCGCTTTCGCTAATGGGGCCTCCCGCTGCCGCCACACAACTTCCACTTGCATCCCAGCGCAAAGTTCGCTACCAGGAGCTCCTACGTCCGGGTTAGCGGAGCTCATTACCCGAAGTGTTCCGCTGTATTTCACTCTGCAAAATAAGTTGTTTGCTTTAAAACACTCTTGTTAACTTATCACTTCCCTAAGGCCTTATCAGTCTGGAACAGAAACAAACCCACCACATGCATCAGCATTTCAAAATCACAAGCCAACTACAACTACGGTACTAATTCGGCATTTTAAAAGCACTTACAGGAGAATCAGGGCCAATGAATTTTAAGCATAGTTACTGATTTGGAGAATGCAAGCATCCCCACCCTGCGGATGTGTTCCCGAAGCGCCTGGAGCTCTGCTTTCAGGGCACCCGGCGCTCCGGGAAGCAGGCTGCTATCCGCAGCCTAGACACGGCTAGCGGAGCGCTAATCCCGAAGCCCCAAACTTCGGGATTAGCGCGGCGCTTTGCTAGCCCTGGGAGAGCCACGCAACGTCGCGGGGCTCTCCCAGGGCTAGCGAGACCTTGCCGGCACCCAGAAGCTTGGGACGCGCTGAGCTCCGCGCGCCCCAAGCTTCGGGATTAGCGCGGCGCTTCGCTAGCCCTGGGAGAGCCACGCAACGTCGCGGGGCTCTCCCAGGGCTAGCGAGACCTTGCCGGCACCCAGAAGCTTGGGACGCGCTGAGCTCCGCGCGCCCCAAGCTTCGGGATTAGCGCGGCGCTTCGCTAGCCCTGGGAGAGCCACGCAACGTCGCGGGGCTCTCCCAGGGCTAGCGAGACCTTGCCGGCTCCCAGAAGCTTGGGACGCGCTGAGCTCCGCACGCCCCAAGCTTCGGGATTAGCGCGGCGCTTCGCTAGCCCTGGGAGAGCCACGCAACGTCGCGGGGCTCTCCCAGGGCTAGCGAGACCTTGCCGGCACCCAGAAGCTTGGGGCGCGCTGAGCTCCGCGCGCCCCAAGCTTCGGGATTAATGCAGCGCTCCGCTAGCCGCGGCTAGCGGATAGCTTCCTGAAGCCTGGAGAGCGAGAGGGGTCGGTGCGCACCGACCCCTCTCACTCTCCAGGCTTCAGCGAAAGCCTGCATTCGCTCCATAGGACGCACACACATTTTCCCTTGCTTTTTAGGAGGGAAAAAGTGCGTCCTATGGTGCGAAAAATACGGTAGCTTCTGGCAAATGCTTAAGACACACCTCTTTACTCTTGGATGTGGTTGTTTTCAAGGCCCACCCTACCTATTCCTGTGATTGCAATCAGTTTTAACTTTAAAAAAAAAATTGTTGTAAACCCTGCTAATGAAGGGTGGGCAGTAAATTTAATGATGATCATCATCTTTCACCATCCCCATTATTTAGGGTACGAAGTGGCTGGCATGGTGGTGGCTTAAATAGCCTGATACAAAACCGGGGCGGGGGGGGGCAGTCTGTTATATTGCCTGGCAGCCACCATGCCTTTGTTTTGGGAGTTTGTGGCTACTAGCCACGTAATCTTACTTCAGTCCTCCATTATGCTAACAGCCCAATGCAACTGCGTCATTTGTAAAGTTGCAGAACTGAAAACAGGGCTCCAACAATGCTCTGTCGGGGAGAGAGAGAGAGAGAGAGAGAGAGAGAGAGAGAGAGAGAGAGAGAAGAGTCTCTTAGCCAAGCTGTTTTTATTTTTCTTCTACCACAGGGCAGGCTGGGCAAGCCAGAACATTCAGTCAGGCAGCAAAAATAAAGTATGGAACAATCGGTTTTATTTCCCATTGTGGCCAGAGCTGAATGGGTTATTTCCTTTGCAAATCAACTTCCTCCCGTTGCAATTGTCCAGAGACAGTTGCCGAGTTCCAGGGCAATGATTTTTATTTTTTTTAAAAAAGGCAGATTAGATTTTTTATCAAGGCATTGGCGTAGCAGCAACTTCCTGGATTCATGAGTCTTCCTACAGAAAGGCAACTTCAGAAGCCAAAAATAAGACATCGCCAGCCCACCAACTCTAATGCCTCCAAGACTCCTGGGGCCTTTGCCCTGGAGAATCTATTCTGAACTCCCTTTTGCCCAAGACCTGCAGTAAAGGTAAAAGAACCCCTGACCATTAGGTCCAGTCGTGACCGACTCTGGGGTTGCGGTGCTTGCCAAAAGCCAGGTAAAAACCTTTCCTGGGTACTTCTAGTACTCTGAAGGCCTAGACCAGTGGTTCCCAAAATGAGCGGTGGTGGGGTATAATCTGGTACTAAGAGGAAGGTTGGAGACGGGGGGTGCTGGAGGTGTAAATGATTATCAGACTTTGGAAAGTTAGTATCACTAAATCACACTCATCAATCTTGTTGAATTAACTGAACTAAATATTTTCACTTGGTTTTTGAACAAATGTACAATTAATTGTTATAATTCTGAATTTTATTGCATTACAAGATAGACAGTTAAATTGGCGCTAGACCACTTTTTATGTACTTGACAGTAGCAGCCAGGATCTTAATCGCAAGAAACTGGAAAAGTGAGAAAACACCTACGATAAATGAGTGGCCGGTCCAAATGATAGAGTATTTGCAGTTGGCTATGATGACAGGGAGAGTTAGAGGGTATCCAATACAGAAAGTACAGAAAGAATGGAAAAATTTAAAGAGTATTTGAAAAATTATTGTAACACCAACAATCTCCTGGCAGAACTCGAATGATTCTTGTCAAATAAAAGGTACAGATAACAACTCCTTTTTTTGATAAGAACAAAGAAAGTAAATGGTAATTTGAAACTGTGTGTAAAACAATAATAGGAACAACAATACAGTGAGTCTAATCGGAAGTCAAATTTATTTATTCCCCCCCCCATTTTTTCTTTCTTTTTTATTCTTTCTCTCTTTTCCTCTTTTCTCTTTTTTCCCTTTTTTCTTTTCTCTCTTTCTTTTTCTTTCTTCTTTGTTACGTAAAATAGATAAGGTTTAAAAAATATAGGGAATGTTGATCTAGTCGTTGTGATGTTTTGTAATGCTATATATTATTAAGGATGGTGGAATGTAGTGAATAGTCAACTGTGTTAGTTATTGTTTGAATGTTAAATAAAGCCTTTAAAAAAGTTGATTAGTGTGGTGCTGATAATGCCAAGGTTGCAAGTTCAACAGCTGCATATTCCTGCATTGTAGGGGGTTGGACTAGATGAGCCTCAGAATCCCTTCCAACTCTATGATTATTTATGGAGCCAAGGGGGCAGTGGCCCAAGATGGTTTGGGAACCACTGGCCTACACAGTAGTGGCTACATGAGTAGGGTTGCCAGGTCAGGCGCATCCCAGACGCTGAGATTTCATGGCCCAAACCTGAGACATGGGGTGAGCCCTGGTGGTGTAAAAGGGCTGGGCCCTATTGATTCTTCCTCTGAGCTTCCTCCTGCGACTGAGCCCTGAAGATGGAGAACTGGGAGAGGGGAGGACAGAGCGGAGGAGGGCATGACCCCCGCCCCCCAGGGTATATGCAAAAATTTGAAGCCAGCTGCTCCTGAGCTGAAGCTTGCAAGATGCACACATAATATTCTTAATACAATAATATTAGTAATAATTTAAGGCACTCCTTAAATTAGGGAGATGGGGGGTAGCTCAGCTGGTAGAGCATGAGACTCTTAATCTCAGGGTCTTGGGTTCGAGCCCCACATTGGGCAATAGATTCCTGCATTGCAGGGGGTGGACTAGATGACCCTTGGGTTATCTTCAAACTCTACAGTTCTGTGATTCTATGGATCCTGCTCATGTGGAGATCCAAGCCCTCCCCCTGCCCCGTGGGAGGGGCCAAGGCAAAACAAAAGACTTCAGCCTAGTAACCCTATGCATGATACACTGCTCAAATCACTGGTAATATGGAATTAAGCTTAACTTGGCCAAGCCGAGTTCAGACCCTGCAGCGTCCACAATGTGGGGTTGACTTATACATAATAGTAGTTATGAGCAGCTGACAGTGTGCATGGAGCACTATGAACAGCCAGGACACATTATACAATCTGTTATTATCATCAAGAGACATGTGTGCTTCACGTCCTCAAGACTCTGGTAACTGCTTGAAGTTTATCTCTGACATAGCGCTGAATGTTGCTGGAAAGCAGTGAGACTGACTTTTGAGCATCCCTGGGCTCTGATATTTCTAGGACAGTAGAGCCCCAGTAGAGCTCTCTCGTCATTTCCTTTTCCAGCTAAATCATGTGGCCTTGTGACACTAGAAATCATGGACATCCAGTGAAGCTGAAGATTTGATGATTCAGGACTGATAAAAGAAAAGACTTCCTCACGCAGTACATAGTTCAACTGTGGAACTCACTTCCACAGGAGGCAGTGATGACCACCAACCTAGATGCCATTAACAGAGAATGGGACAAATTCATGGAGAAGAGGGCTATTGATGGCTACTAGCCAGAATGGCTATGCTCTGCCTCCGCAGTTGGAGGCAGCAATGCCAGTTACTGAAATACCAGTTGCTGGAAACAACAGGAGAGGGAGGCGCTCTAGATCAGGCTTCCTCAACCTCGGCCCTCCAGATGTTTTTGGCCTACAACTCCCATGATCCCTAGCTAGCAAGACCAGTGGTCAGGGTTGATGGGAATTGTACTCTCAAAACATCTGGAGGGCCAATGTTGAGGAAGCCTGCTCTAGATGGTTGGCTACTGTGAGAGCAGGATGCTAGACTAGATGGGCTGCTGGCAATTTTATTTTCAATTCATTTCCTAATGAATGATGCAATGAAATCTGAAGCAAAGATGGGACAAGAGATTACAAACACCCACACCTACATCCGCATATGCACACAGTCACATCATGGGTGGAGCATGCCATGGCCGTTTCTTTGTGTTCATGTCAGCCTTAAGATGTTAACCAACTTATTTCTTACAAAACACTAGTATATCTCATCCCCAGTAGACAAGGCGTATGAATATAAAACCAATGCAATTTAAATCATGATTTAGATCACCAAAGATAAAAAGGGCCATTTAAGCAACTGAGTTAAAATCAATCCATTATTTCCTCAACAAGTGGCCATACTAAATTTGTTGATACAACAACTATTAAAACATGTTTGCAACTTAACTTTCACTGAGTGCTATCTAGCACAGCAGTTCTGAAAGTGGGTGGTACTGACCCCTAGAGGGTAGTGGGATTACTGGGAGGGGGCTGTGCATTAAGAGGCAAGAGGGCAGTAGGGGGTCACTGGTGGCGTAAATGACTATCAGACTTTGAAAAGCTTGTATCAGTGGATCAAGTTTGTCAGTTTTGTTGGATTAATTAAACTAGTTTTAACTGCATTTTTAATTCTTACTGTTTCAATTTTCATGGTGTTACTATCTTCCTTAGTGGGTTGTGCAGACAACAATTCTGAAAGATGCTTTTTATGAGGTAGGGTAGGGCAGGGAACCCTGGCGGTGAGTGCATTGAACCATGGGAGCGGTGACCCGAAAGGGTTTGGTTGCTGCTGGGCTAGAGCATAATACAAATGCATGCATTTTGCATGAAAGGCTTTTGTGCCTGCTTTGGGAGGAAAGCGGTAAGGATTTTGGGGTTTTTTTCTGCAGCAGGTTATAATGGATACTAACAGAACAGTGAGGTTATATTGTAGAAATCCTCTATGTGAAAGCAACACTCTGTTTTGACAGATGCAAGGAGGAAATATTAGGGAGGAGGCCATACTGCCACAGCTGTCTGTAAACAGGACATAAAAGAATGGAAAAAAAGAAACCAAGGACAAACATTTTTATTCAGGAAGACCCCATACTTACTTTCCCATGAAGATGTTGTTCAGGTAATGGAGCCAGAACAGACACACAAGGTTGTGGAAAGCAATAGTTCTGTGCTATCCTTCCTTTTTGGACCACCTTCCCCAACCTAGAGGTTTTGGGATACAACTCCCATCAGTCCCACCCAGAACAGCCATGCCTCCATCAGCTCTGCAGGCTAGACCAAAACCTCTGGAGGCCCCCAAATCGGGATGACTGGCTTGCCCTCCCCTTCACCTCCCATGACCAGGAAGTTATGGCTACTTTGTCAGCCCCAACCTGCATAGCACAAGAGTCAAAACAATCCTCTTCGCCAGGGGCCATTTGACATGTTTTGAGTTCCATCTGAGGTTTTGTTGCTAATTTTGGTGTTGTTTAACACTTCTGCATTGTTTTAAATTTTCGTTAATTGTTTTGTGGACTTCTTTTGAACTTGTGAATTCTGTTCAGTTGGGACACCTTAGAATATTTATATCCCAACTCTTGGCAAGTCAAACCATATACTTGGGAAAGCGGTGGTCATGAATGTTGGTGACTTGATGACCCACACATGTGAGTGGGGGGTGAGGGAAGAGTGTGTTTATGGAAGGAAGTTGAGCATGTGAGGAAGCAGGGGATGGGCCTCCTTCAATACACACTCCCTTTTGATAAGAGAGAAGTGTTCTGAGAGATCTGCATTGGCTCCCAGTACATTTCCGAGCACAATTCAAAGTGTTGGTGCTGACCTTTAAAGCCCTAAACGGCCTCGGTCCAGTATACCTGAAGGAGCGTCTCCACCCCCATTGTTCAGCCCGGACACTGAGATCCAGCGCCGGGGGCCTTCTGGCGGTTCCCTCATTGCGAGAAGTGAGGTTACAGGGAACCAGACAGAGGTCCTTCTTGGTAGTGGCGCCCACCCTGTGGAACACCCTCCCTTCAGATGTGAAGGAAATAAGCAGCTATCCTATCTTTAAAAGACATCTGAAGGGAATGTTCAGGGAAGTTTTTAATATTTAACGCTGTACTGTTTTTAACACTTGATTGGGAGCCACCCAGAGTGGCTGGGGAAAATCAGCCAGATGGGCGGGGTATAAATAAATAAATAAATAATTATTTTATTTATTATTTATTTATTTATTATTTATTTATTTATTTATTTATTTATTTTGTTGTTGTTGTTGTTGTTGTTATCAGTGGTGCCCTTTCATGGGCAGTGGGATTACCTAGAGCAGGCTTCCTCAACCTCGGCCCTCCAGATGTTTTTGGCTTACAACTCCCATGACCCTTAGCTAGCAGGACCAGTGGTCAGGGATGATGGGAATTGTAGTCTCAAAACATCTGGAGGGCAGAGGTGGGGGAAGCCTGACGTAGAGGGACACTAAGAGGCAAGGGGGCAGCCAGAAGGGGGCAGTGGGGGGTGTAAAATAAATAATTTATTATTTATACGCTGCCCATCTGACTGGGTAGCCCAAGCCAGACTATCAGGTTTTGAAGAGCTGATTATCACTGGATCAAGTTCATCAACTTCGTTGAATTAAATAAACTAAATTTTAATTGGATTCTGAACAAAATGTGCAATTAATTGTTACTGTTTTGAATTTTGTTATGTTATTATCGTCCGTAGTGGGTCATGCAAACGGCTATTCTGAATAATGCTTTTTATAGGGTAGGGGGCACTGGGGGTGAGTTTACAGAACCAAGAAGGAGTGGCCCCCAAAAGCCTGAGATCCACTGTTTTTCAGTCGGTGAAAGAGCCAGAGTAGAAGAAAACACTTTCACCTGGTAGCAGCCAAAGCATCCAAAGGAAAAGGTGGGCCAAAAGAGAGTCATTGGACTTTGCTGCACCTCCTTCACACTACATGACCCATGGAAGCTAGGGTGCAATGACAGGCAGCAGCACGTAAAATAAATAATATACATACGCCTCACCCCCAGTCACATCTAGGCTGGCACACACTCTAACAACACACTGTTCTGCTTTTTATTTGGTAGCACATTCAGCTTCATGAGTCAGTATATGAAGAAACCAGACCCAGTCATGGTGGAATAATATTACACCATACATAGAGCATTAATGCGCTGTAATGGATAAGCATTTCAGAGTGTGGCATGGGGTACAAGAATTAAAACCACTACAAGCCCCAAATAATAAAAGTGTTTTATGAGTAGGTTAACCACAATGAATCTATTTCCTCACAATGCTAGAATGTCTAATGGAGGGAAATATAAGCCCTGAGGAGATTCAAGGCTTTATTGTGAGTCACACCCCATTCTAATGCAATCTATAGGAAACCATCAGGCCAGACACCTAAGAACAGATAGGAGAGTTTGTCACCAAGGTAGAAAGCTTCGTTGGCTCTAACTCAACCTTTTGCCAACTGGTGCCCTCCAGATGTTTAGGACAATAATTCCCATCAGCCTCAGACAGGAAGAGTCATTTCCTGCGATTATGGGAGTTATAGCGCAACAACATCTACAGGGAACATGGCATAGTGCTCTCCTCCTCCATGAACCTGTCCAATCCTCATTGAAAGCTATCCAAGTTTGTGGCCGTCACTGCCTCCTGGGGGAGCAAGTTCCCTAGGTAGACTATGTGCTGTGTGAATGAGTCCTTTCTTTTATCCTTTACTATCTTTTATTTAGGGACACGGGTGGTGCTGTGGGTTAAACCACAGAGCCTAGGACTTGCCGATCAGAAGGTTGGCGGTTCGAATCCCCGCGACGAGGTGAGCTCCTGTTGCTCGGTCCCTGCTCCTGCCAACCTAGCAGTTCGAAAGCACATCAAAGTGCAAGTAGATAAATAGGTACCACTCCGGTGGGAAGGTAAATGGCGTTTCCGTGCGCTGCTTTGGTTCGCCAGAAGCGGCTTAGTCATGCTGGCCACATGACCCGGAAGCTGTACGCCGGCTCCCTCGGCCAATAAAGCGAGATGAGTGCCGCAACCCCAGAGTCGGTCACGACTGGACCTAATGGTCAGGGGTCCCTTTACCTTTTTATCTTTTATTTACCTTGCATCTTACATCTCACCCGTGTATTTGGTTGCTGTGGCTAGCTGCACCTACTAGCCTTAACAACAAAGGCGGCTCCACACATTGTTATTTATTGCTCATTCCTCATCATTCAATATCCAATTCCACACAGACAAAAATGCTTCAGATGATACAGTCCGTACATGGCTGGTCTACTTACCTGGTCAAACAGCTGCTTCCCTGTGGTGTTGGGCTGGATGGCAAACTCCAGCTCAGCATCCATGGTGGTAACTCGGACAGTAATCTGGAATATAAAATAGGAGGGTAGAATTAGAATCCAGATGCCTCATGAAAATCCATTCACCCATCCAGCAGCATGAGCCAAAATTTCTTTCTTACTATAAAATATTTATATGCTGCTATTTCATAAAACATATCAAAGTGGCTTACAATGAAAGTACATGTTCAAAACTCCCATTGTTTTGCATTTTGCGACAGGGAATTTCATCAGCGCATGCCGTTTCTGAGCTCTGGGCACAGCGCTATGCCTAAGATTTCAGATTAAAACTGCAGAGTGGAAGGAAATGAGGATCTTTTTCTGCCTCCCCACTTCCAGCTACTCTCTGAAGACTGGAAAAGAGACCCTCTTAAGAATATATGGGGGGGCAGGGGAAGGAGAAGACCATGTAAAAAATGAACATATTATTTTAGCTGCAGTTCATTCATTTTCAGCTTTGTATTCTTGTTATTTTAAAAAAGCGTGCCTTGACATTCTGTTGTTGCGCTCATAACCTAGGATTAAGGAGCCATTTAGCTCCTAGCTTTCATATTTCAGTTTCTAACACTGAAGCCATACAGTAAAAAAAAGAATTAAAATCAGACATTGATTAACCATTGTGAAAAGACGTAGTCTCAATTACCTGCATAGGCCTTGGCAGAAAAGAAAAGTTTGCAGCAGCAGTTTAAAAGTTGAAACAGTCTGTATTGAATGACCGAAACTCATCACCATCATCTCAAAAATGTACTGGATCAGCTTTCCTCAACCTGTTGCCCTCCAGATGTTTTGGGCAACTTTCATCAGCTCCAGCCACCACGGACAATGGCTGATGTGAACTGCAATCCAAAACAGCTGGAGGGCAAAGAGGTTGGAGGGAATTAAATGGACACACTTTGGAGAATGAGAAAGCAAACCTGCATATCAGAGTAAGAAACAGTTTTGTGCTATGAAAAGCAATACATTCCTATCAAATATTAAGAATATATTTAAATCTCTTTCCAAGCTCAATAATATGCAATCAAGCAAGATTCTGTACAGCCATTGGTGGATCCAGGGGATCCAGGTGGCATGGGCTCGTGGCTCTTGCAAAGTGGGTCACCCTAAGCAGCTGCCAAAGGAGGTGCAACTGGCCTTTCATTCTGGAACAAAGAGGCAGAGATGAAACTAGAAGGTGGCTTTCCGAAGTTCCAGGGTGGTCATACCCATTTCCCTTCAAATACCCCCTCTTGGAGCATTCTTCTCCACAGGATGTTCTTGGAGGGGGAGATACTGAGGGACGCGGGTGGTGCTGTGCTCTAAACCACTGAGCCTCTTGGGCTTGCTGATCAGAAGGTTGACGGTTTGAATCCATGTGATGGGGTGAGCTCCCATTGGTCTGTCCTAGCTTCTGCCAACCTAGCAGTTCAAAAGCATACCAGTGCAAGTAGATAAATAAGTACCACTCTGGCGGGAAGGTAAACTGTCTCCATGCAATCTGGCACTCGTCACAGCGTGCCATTTTGCAAGAAGTGGTTTAGTCATGCTGGCCACATGACCAGGAAAGCTGTCTGTGGACAAACGTCAGCTCCCTCAGCCTGAAAGTGAGATGAGTGCCGCACCCCATAGTCACCTTTAACCGTCTAGGGTTGTTGGTTTTTTTTACCTTTTACGTTACTGTCCAGTGAGATACTGGAATGACTTTTCAGTTTCACCTGCCCATGCAAGTTTGTTTTATACTAGCCAGTTTCTTCACTGGCACTCAATTAATAAGTTGGCTTGGCAGCTATGGTTGGATTTGTAAAGAGGTCAGCAGTAGGAGTGTTACATTAATACAGAGGGCTACACCAAAGTTAATACTATTTGCAACCTACATTTGTGGAGCCTCCACGCACAATGTGCTTTGTGCCGAAAGACATAAACATTATTCTTTCTAAAGGGAATGAAATCAAAGTTGTTTTTCAGTAACACCAGCAGTCCCTAACCTTTTCAGAATCAGGGTGCACTTTTACACCAAACATGCATGTGGAGGCCCTTTTCTTAAGCTTTTCCCATAGAGGTGCATGGTGGTAGTTCTCCTGTTGTGACCCATCTTGGACCAGGCCATGACCCACTAGAGGGTCCCAACCCACCAATTGTAGACCAGTGGACTACACTAACATAGACAGTTCTCACCCTGTGGGACGCCTTGCCAATACAAGTTTGACAGGAGACATGCCCACTCATTTCTAGAAGTCTTCTATAAACTATATAACTTAGAAAGGGCTTTCAAACCTGAGTTTCTCTGCAAACCAGCTCTTACTGATAGATTTGGTGTTTTTATCATTTTTATCGACCAACTGGCAAGGTCAGTGTTATCCTCCTTCCTGCAGCATTGTCTTAAACTAGGCTACTTGAAGAACCCATGAGAATGTCAAAGCCAAGAGGTTCTCAACACTGACTATTTTGGGACACCCACAGTAACACATGAAATATATAAATGCCTCCCTTAGATCAACACCAAGAGAACTCTGTTTGAAGAGTGCCCTGTGTCATTCAAGTTGAGCAAACTCTGTTACATGAGCTCACAACATACTTGGAAGGAGTTGAAGCAAAGAGCTTTCAGCAGAAGGAGATTGATTGGTTATCCACTCTTCACCCACACTGGCAAGCAACACAAAAGATTGTGTTGGCATTCAGTTCTTGGCTGAGTCTCGACATAGCCTGAGAAAAGGAGCTTCAGCAGCCTTTGGCACCTGCCCAGGCTCCTCTGCACAGACATCCATGCACTTTTAACAAAAGCCAGACTCCTTTACCACCTGGGTGCCTTTGACACACCAACATCTTTGCAGAAACAGGCCTTGTCCCTCTGCAGTTGAGCTCACTCTCCACTCATTGCAAGACTTTGGCAGTAAAAGAGACCTTATAGCCCCACCAGAAGCAGCAAAAATCTTGTTAGAGTAATGATGGAGCAGTCATGGGCTGCTATGCCAGCGATCAATCACTACATAGCAAAGGTTAGGAGATGTGCCAAAAAAGCTGAATTGGAGATGCTTCCTTTCTGAATTAGGTAGGAGCCTATTTGCCAGTGATTACATGGACATGTAGATTTGGTATGTTTAGCCTGGAAAGGAGGAGATTGAAAAGAGATAAAACAGGTAAGCTTTTAAGAAACAAGACATGGATTGTATGCTCATCTGCTAGGTGGCTCATGGTTTACTGAACAAAACATGGTTAAAACAAACCATTGTTTCATGTGCTTATACTTGATGTGTGTTTGCAGATATTAAGATAAAAAAACAGTGTCACTGCAGAAGCATTCCGGGGTTTAGAATATTTAAGAATCAGCTCAAATTATTGCAAGACACAACTGTTTTGGCAAAGGATACTTTGCAAGCCTGCCTCAGGAATTTGCAACATGTCTTAAGGAGCATCACAGACTTTCCTAGAAACTCATCAAGTGGCTTTGAGCAATATAGACCTTCACAATATGGACCTACCTTAGCAAGTTATCATGACAGCCTTCAAAGTATGTTAATGCCTGCTGCAAATCCCAGAACACACTTTGAAAACAGCAAGTTCCATCATCCCTGAGCACTGGCTATGCTGGCTGGGACTGATGGGAGCTAGTGGCCGACATTGGGTGGGGGGCACATCTTAGCCACACCCCGTTTAGAGATTGCAAATGAGTGGGACTGTCAAACTTCCCACAAACATTTGTGCTACCTCTCCATAATTCCCCCCACCCCCATTTAAGGAGTTCTGCTGGGCCATCCACAGCGCAGTCAAGAAGCACCACAATGGACCATGACATCTGCAAGATTGCAGCTTGCTGCTGCATCCTCTGCATCCAGAGCCTCTGTCCCTTTGAAAGTTTCAAGATATGCTCCCTGCATTCAGTCAAGGCTTCATAAACTGGAAGGCCAGAGATTTCTGCATGGATACCCACAGTATAAGTCAGGCATGTCCAAAGTCCGTGGCATGTCCTGGTGAAAAAAGCTCAACAACTTCAATCCTAAAAAACTTCATCAAATCTGGCCCTCTGTGAAAAAAGTTTGGGCACCCCTGGTATAAGTGTTTGATTGTTCATTAACTATTTCATATGGTCTCACATAGGAAAGGAAGCCTCTGGCTAGAAGTTTTAACATTTGAATTTTTAAAGGCAAACATTTGTCTCCCATTTTCTGAAATATCCTCAAAATAGAAGCAATTAAAAAAAAAAGTTACAAGCAAGCCTAAAAGAGCCTGAACCAACAGATATTCACAAGGAAGGAACAGGAATTTAATTTAGGTAGTTTTAACACTTTTGTAGTTTGCTTCAACACAGAAAGATGGCTATGGAGGAATATTGTTACCTGATGCCATTTATTTTCATCCCACCCTTTTTCTCCAAGGAACTCAAGGTGGCATACATGGTTCTCCCCATCCTCATTCAATCCCCACAGCAACCTTGTGAAGTAGGATAGGCCAAGAGTGACTGGCCCCAAGTCACCCAATGAGCTTCATGACCAAATGGGGGATATGAACCCTGGTCTCTCCCAGGCCCTATTCTGACATTCTAACCACTACACCAACAATGCACAGCTAAGCACTGAAACTGCTGTGCAGAGTCATTCTGCAGAGGATGTAGTATATGTTTTAAGCTGTTCCAGCCACGAAAATTGGAAGGTAGCGGCACTGGTTCTCTAAGGTTGGCGACAAAATATTTCCAAGAGGCATTTCTTTGCTCCCATGGTGTAAACAGCACCTCGTTGGCCCTACTGTTGTTGGAGCCAGCAGGTTTTTCTAACAATGCAAAGTGTGCAGAAATCTGTTGACCAGAAGCGGGCGGGGGGAACGATCCCTCTTTCAAAGTGCTGTCAACTCTGGAGGCAGGGAGAGGAACAAACAACTATTTGCCTGCCAAAACAACTCTGAACACACACCCTGAGGAGTGGGAACAAAGAACACTGTCTAGCTGGCTTATGACATCAGTTACAAAAAAAGAGCAAGGAGTCTAGATTCTTCTTGTTGCCCACTGGTGAGCAGCTGCCCCACCATTCATGCCTCCTGTGGGGCACGGTGGGGGTGGG